CATTATATTTACGTAAACCAGATTTAGCATTGATTTTGGGATCTTAGGGCTAACAAATTGGATTGAGCAATTATGTGGGGATTTTAGTTTTTTTTGGGGGGAGAAATGTTGGGAAATTTCCTCTCGACTAGTATTCAGGCGTCAACACTGAACACTGTCTTTGGTTCGAATTTGAATATTAATTTGACACTCGACGTTCTGTACCCACGAGCACCTCAGCTTCTGCATGCACAGAAGCACAGATAATATAACCCCTACTAGTAGGGGTTATATTATCTGCCCACAGCCTAAGGAATTCCTATGATCTAATTGACAAAACTAAAGATTGGCACATACAAAAACCATCATTTGCTTGCCTCTTTCGACATAGTGAATTTATACACGAATGTGCCCGTAGAAAAAATAATAGATATCATACAAACAAACTTAACAAACAAATCAGCTATGTTACCAGAGGCAATAAAAGAGATTATTGACCTGTTAAGAGAGATTTTGAGGCAAAACTATTTTGCATTTAATGGGAAATATTATTCTCAAACTGATGGTCTGGCAATGGGCTCCCCACTCTCTGGAATTTTATCTAATATATACTTAAATTACATTGAAAATGAGTACATTTTATCTGACAAGAACAAATATCATTCTAAAATAGTAGCCTATCATACAATAGATATGTCGATAATTGTCTTGTTTGATGGCAGTAAAAGGCAGTTGGATCTACTTCTAAATTATCTAAACAAAATAGCCCCGAGACTAAAGTTCACATTAGAAACAGAAGAAGACAACGCAATACATTTCCTAGATTTAACCATAACTAAAATTAACAATAAATTCGATTATAAAATCTACAGGAAACCCACTTTTTCAGTTCAGATCATTCACGCAACCTCATATCATCCACATTCTCAAAAAATTGCAGCATACAGCTCTATGGTACACAGACTTTTAACGGTCCCCTTAAGTCCCACAAATTACAATAATGAATACAATATCATCAAACATATAGCCATATCCAACGGCTATAATAGCGGGCTTGTAGACAGACTTATGATCAAACACCATAATAGAGAGGTCAAACAAAAGGACGAACGTAAGAAGTACGTATGTATTGAATATTCCCACACACTACAAAATTGCCTATCCAAAGAGCTTCGTAGGCAGGGAATCGAATTAACATTCAAAACTACAAACCGTACTCGTAACACCCTGTCACAAATTGACCGATCAAGAGATAAAATGGAAATGACAGGTGTTTACAAAATTAAATGCCAAGATTGTCCGAGCCAATATGTTGGGCAAACAGGTCGTGGGTTCGCTACTCGCTACAACGAACACAGGCCCAAACCACGTTTAATCAAACAAAATTCAGCGTTTGCCCAGCATTTAATCGACCTAAACCATAACATGAGTGAGATTACTGACGGTCTTGAGGTGCTACATAAATGCAGTAAAGGTAGTAAACTAAACACGTTAGAGGAGTTTGAAATTTACAAATTGTACCACGACAACACTGCCAGTGGACATATCCTCAACGAAAAACTGCAGTTCCAGTCACACTCTATTTTCAATGTGCTAATTCACCAAAATAACCGGCCACCTGACCTTTGTCCTACTGATAACATGGACAACAACGAGGAAGGAGTCTGACACTGCAGTCTACTACCTGCGCCGGGACCGTCCGTGTCGTGTGCGTGTGATAGGCCTATCAATGTCAATTAAATGTTTACTTTGTCTTTCCGTAATTAAATGTTCGTATTCGTGTATTTATTCTGTGCGTGTGACATCGATATCTTCGTTTTTGAAACCCTGACGATGCCGTATTTACGGCGAAACATGTAGGTTGTTAACCTCAAACAACATTTGGATTACTTGACGAGGTATAGTACCATTATTATAGTCATATAAAGTAATCCAGGGGCCATCAACATGGAATTATTATTTTGGTCGTGTGGAAACACTGCCACGGCGGTTTCTTTTTCTTCTTACCGTTCCCGGTTCCCGCGCAAACCCGTGGTGGTGGTGGTGAGGTGATAGATGCCAGGCAGGCAGGATAGATGCTGTAAGTCGTTACTCTGCTGCTAGTCGAAGGACACATTTTCGAGGTATGTACCAAATTAACAATAAACAAATAACTAGGTACTTACCTTTTCTAAGTATCTTAGGCCTACCTAATTGATTAAACCTTTTTTTAGCCTAGAGGTAAAATATACAAGTTTACCTAGCCTTTATTGAATAGGCTATTCAATGATAGGCCTAAAACACATCTCTTACATCAAGGCGTAAATTTTCACATCTTGGGCTGGTGCTCTGTGCATATTTGTAATAAGCCTAAATAAGTTAATAATTCACATCTAGAAAAGTTGAGTAAGTTATTGAAGTTAGTAGGCCTAGTAGGAGAATGGGTTTCGGTTTCACCTGATAGGCCTAAGTGAGGCCCAAGGCCTAGGCTAATTTTTCTGAGTACCGGTATTGGTACAGTAACTAAAGAGGCAATAGGCTATGTTACAAACTAGATTTGTCTAAACTTAAATAAACAGCAACTCAGAGTCTCATCCTCCAACACGTTTTAAATGGTAGGCTAAACTGTGTAATTCATGACTAAGATGTTGGTGCCTCTTAACACCTTCAAATGGCGGGCGTATCCCCAGTACGGCGCAGCCCTCAGCGCCGAACAAACTCGATTGCCGCGTGTGATTGGCTTTTCAATTTCGGTCTGACGAATAGCAAATAACGTGCGAGGATGTCCTGCTTTACAACGAGAGTCGACATAGTACGCTGAACACCCACAGACAGCAGCACTGCTTGGAACGTAGCCGGTCCCATTGGTATTGTATTGCCAAATGGAGGGAAAAAGACGGGACGAAAAGTAGATTTTAAAATTGCCAAACGGGGAAATTTACTACCAACCTACACCACAACAAAATACAGTATACTATTGAGCAGTACTGTGCGAGGTTTCAAGTTTATAGCTCTAATCCTGGCTTAAAAATAAAATCATTTTGTACCGCATTGCAGCTTGGGAGCGATCGCACCCACCAGGATGGCATTAGGGTTCCGTATGGGAGCGATCGCTCCCATGCCGCCGCGAACGTGTTAACCAGACTATTGTGTGGACTATTGCGTTTTTGTCCATAGTCTACATAGGCTAACTTATGGGCCCGTACTTTAAACGTATCCCCAGCAAAGCAAAGAGTGAGCCGGTCAGTTCCAGATTTAGGGAACTTGCAGCCCTAGGCCAAATTACTTGAGCGGCCCTCCCCCTGTGGTGGAAATTCCTTGCGATCGCGGAAGCAGTGTTGGGGAAGCTACTTTTAAAATGTAGCTAGCTACAACTACTGCTACATTTCCAAAAAAGTAGCTTAGCTACAGCTACAGCTACAGTTCCGAGAAAGTAGCTAGCTACAACTACAGCTACAATGAAATGTAGCTATAGCTACAATTTTAGCTACTTTTCCTGTAAAATTAATTGCAACTATGTAAACCTAACGTTACAACAACAGAACCAAAATAAGTTAGTTGGGTGTTCCATCATATTTAGTGCTTGTTTTTAAATATGGCATTATTTTTAAGCATATTATATGTACATTTCATTAGCCTAAGTTCAAAGGACATACAAACAAACTATATTTTAAAAGCCCATTTAATTTCTTTAATCTACATTCATTTATAGATTCTTTTATCAACTATTAAAACAATAAAACTGTAAAACGATTATTCAAAAATACTTTTTTGTGTTACAGAGCCTAGCCTACTGAAATTGGAGTTAATTGCCTTTCCTTATTTTTAATGTTAAAAACTACATTTCTATAACTTTTACCCATAATATGTTACTTGTTCTATGAATAACACTTTTCAATGTCAAGAAATCGTCCTTTGTCAAATTATGCATAGGTCAAATTGTGCTTCAACAAACGTTGGTGCAGAAAACAGTATTCAGCAGCTTATCCTGAAATCGGCTTTTAATTTAAACATGTTGAAAATTGTTAAGTAAAAATAACATTTAGGCGTAGCCTACTTGGCTTTGTACAACAAATTGGCTATAGTAGGCTTGTTCTTACAAGGACTAAACATACATATTCCTATTAATTGAACTTGATATTCGTATTAATCCAACAGCATAGCCTAGGAATAGTCCTTGACAAGAGCTGTTAGCAGGAGCAAACTACTGTATGCTACTTTTTTAATGCAAGTTTCATGTTATATGGAGATTTTTTTTGTTACAATTATTATGTATTCTAGGCTTAGGCATATCTTAAATCTCATCAGGAAATTTACTCTACGTTCATTTAGTAAACCTTTGAAAAATCTTTGTAATCTAACCAAGGAAGGGCTTGTGATGGTGAACCACAATCAACAGATGAAGCAAAGGTTGATAGACCAGCTTTCTCATTATTTTTAGGTTTAGTGTTGGTTTCCATTAAAACCCAAGTTTAAACTAAATTTATACAATAAAGAAACTAAATTGATTACTAATTTCCCTTCCCTGACAATCACTTGAAAGCATTCAATAGCTTCTCTTGTCACCGGTCGGTACGGTAACGTTTAATTAAACGTCGTCTGCAGCTAGCAATTTTATTTTATCTGACAGTAATCATAGAGTAGCAAATGAAGGAAATGAGAGCCAAACATGTGGATAACACTCAGATAATAGCCTCCATGTCCACGCAACTTTTTAATAGGTAATGACACGACTGTGACCAGCTGTATGAAGCCAAGAAAGTAGGCCTAACTTTTTTGAAAATCTCAGTTTGAAAAAGGTTGTTTCACGTAAGGTTGTGATAAAAATCACTATCTCAATCAATGTTAATGTAGCGAGAAAAGTAGCTAAAATTCCGCTACAACTACTTTAAAAATGTAGCTAGCTACAGCTAAAGCTACAAAATCTTAAAAGTAGCGTAGCTACAGCTAACGCTACAAAAAAAGTAGCGCGCTACTGTAGCGTCGCTACTTGTAGCGCGCTACTTCCCAACACTGCGCGGAAGTAATCGTAAATATCTCCTATGCATCAAGGAAACATCATCATCGTGGACATCTCTCCTAAACAAAGTCAAAGCCATCAGGTATCCGTGATCGCGGCAAAATCGTAAACATCCCCCCGCGTTCTGTTACAAAAGGACATTATCCTCGACACTTGTGACCGCGGCGAAATCGTGATCATATCCTGTGAGCTGTGACCTTGAGGACATCATTGCTGTCACCCGCGACCGCAGTAGAATCGTGAACATCTCCCTTGGTCCGCGGAGACATCATTATGGTCACCTGTTATCGCGGCAAACTGGTGGTTTAAAATCTTTTTTTTTTTTTAAAGAAGTTGGCGGCCTCTTTTAACCTTGCAGCTGCCCGTCCACATAGACTAAGCCCCCGTGCATGGATCGTTTACAGCAAAGCAAGGAGTGAGCCGGCACAGTACAAAGGTGAACTGTACTGATTAAATGTTATCGGCAGTGACCAGGATCCGAACCCACGACATCGCTACCTTGGGCCCGAAGTCCGCGACGCTACCGACTGAGCCACCGACTCACTAAAAATCCTCAATCCTCTGCGGTCCCCTTATGTTTGCGGCCCTAGGCCGCTGTCTAATCGGCCTAGTGTTAAATCTGGCACTGGAGCTGGTACAGATACAATAAGAAAATAACACATGCGCTCTTAATAACCAGTTAACCATCAGCCCAGAATTGTTTTATGTAAATAAATGGCTCTTCGGTTACCATTGTTAGGTTAGGATGCCAATTAATGAAATCAACTAGCCTACAACAATGAATCTTGGCAGATACGTAACTTAGCTTGGGGAGATTTCCGGGGGTAGAATCCCATGGTTGAACATTTCTGATTTGAACACTGGGGGTATACATTTCCAGGGATAAAATTCTGGTATCAGGTTTATTGGGATTTTTAGTAATTTAGTTAAGTTACAACTGTTAAGTACTGTAACTTAAACCGTAGGTAAAATGTGAGTTGATAGAAAAAAACTTATTTATTGTCCTAAAAGTTTGCGGCCGGAAACATACCCCCAGACCTTTGACGTCATAATTACATAGGCGTTTTTTCATTGGGGTAAATTTCCAGGGGTGGAATTCCGGCAACCCAAGACCTAGGGCTTTTATTTATTTACAACATTTATTTGTTGTTAGTTTTATATTGTTATTGACAAAAGTTGTTCTGAGAAGCAGTATTTGTAATGAGAAACGCTTGATGAATAAAGGCATTTTTATTTATTATTTTATTTTTTTTAGGGATCCCACTGTTTCTGGCATTCTATTATTTTATTACTTGACCAGTGGTTAGCAAACTAAACTAAACTTTTGGTAGGTTACGGGAGAGACCAAAACATAAAAAAAATTTATTTGTTTACCGGGACTTGTAATCCTTCAATACCAGAACGGCAGTACTGTCTGCTGAGGACCAGAATAGGAACAGTCTTCCCGATATAGTAAGAAAGGACAGGGCTGAGGATTAAAAAAATATTTTCAGAATATTCACTGTTAAACATGATTGACTTGTTTTAAACCCAGGAATTTAAAATGTTGATTGTTTAGTAATTTTTATTCCCAATTATGAGGATTTGAATGGTTTTGGAACCTCAAATCAAAATCTCTTTATTCCTGAATAATGTTACATATTATAATACAAATAGTGTATTTGCAGGAAAAATAATTCCCAAGTAGACTATTCGTCTGTGTTTGGGAATGAGTTGCTAATACAGCCATACACAGGTCAATAAACATTCAGGAGCACTTAGACACTTACTGATGATAGTAAATAAAAATAATATTAACAAGATGAAAAAACCCCTAATTGCATCAAAACATCCAAAACTCAAATTTAGTGATTTTAAGAGGTATTTAGAAATTAAGGGAAAAAAATGATTTGGTGATGCATGAAACTGCACAAAATTATGAGTACAATGATTTGAGTAATCCTTCTGATTGCTCCCTGCCGAGATTTAAAAGCCAGCTCATGACTCTAAGCTTAAACACAGCCACACTGTCACTCTCCGCCTCTCGTATATGTGAAGGCAAGTTTCTATACAATGTATGACAAACGTAAAAAGGAATAGTTTTAAGGGTTGAATGGGAGAGTCTGGGAAAAGAAAATCCGAAATTTATGTTACTTCTAGTCAAATAAAGATGTTGAACAGGAGAAAAAACCGAAGATTTATTAAGTTTTATGAAAATAAGAAGATTTTTTATGAACAATTGGCGAATGTTTAAAACTGGAAAGTCGCAAAACAGTTGCAAGGAAGAAAATCTAGAGTTTTTATTTAAAATAGTTTTTATGACAGATCGTTGATGAACAGAAAGTGGTTCCAAAACAGTGGGAAGGGCACCACCCCAAGCCAGGACACCATACTGCAACACCGACTGCACGTAGGCAAAGTACACGGTCCGTAACTGCTGCTTCAAAAGCACCTCCCGAAGCTGCGTGAATGCGTAAATGAGCTTACATACTTTGTTTTTGACATATTGAACATGCGGAGCCCAAGTCAATTTACTATCGATCACAACCCTTAAATACTTATACTGCTCCACAAGCTCAATCAACTTTTTAGCGAATTTCCCATATAGGGAATAATCCATTATCTTACCGTAGTTCTCATGGTAAGACCTGGACCCGGGACTGATTTAATTTTCGTTTTGAGGTCTCTAGAGGCCAAAAACACCATCAGTTCAAATTCATATAGGCTATATGTACTGTATATGTGTTCGTTAGCACGATACCATAACTCGAACAAAAATGGTCCGATTTTTAAATGACTAATTCTATTTAAATAGGGAATAAATGTGATATTTTTTAAAAACATACCTATTTTAGTGTAGGCCTACCGGTAGTCCAATCAGGCAAGTGAAAATTCGGTAAGTCTGCAGGTTTGCTGCGGCGGGGGTATTTGGCCTTAATAACACGCTCTTATATTGCGATCAAGGAAAATGTCTTAAAATATTGGGCGACAAAAATTTTACAATATTGTGCCATATGCAAACGGCCAATCTTACTTAGGCCTACTCCATTTATTTTAAGACGAATCTTTACAACGTGTGATGTGTAGACTGTAGATTGATGTTGCCACGAATGCAAAAGATTATTACGACGTCTCCGCGATTGTGGAGATGATCACGTTAGTGCCCCGAGTACGGAATATAGTTTTAGCGTTCTAGGATGGATAATTAGTGATGAATACAGTAACTTACACAATACAATAAATTTTCTGAACAATTTGTAAATACATGAATCGTACGTTTAGGCTACCCAGCTTTTCATATCTTGAGTTTTTGTAGTTAAATGAACAGAAGGCTTGGTTAAGTTGTTAAAACTAAACTTGTGTTAAAGTTAAATCCTTCTAGTAGTGTTAGATTTTTTATTTATTTGATTTTCTGTCAGGTTTCTGACATTAATTTAAATATTTGTTTACGAAGAGTTCATGATGAAAGTGCTAACTTATTATGACAGATTCTCCAATTATCATATTTGGTATATGACTAACTAATTGGCTAAATTGTTTATTTTGAGGCTTTCTCGAAGTAGACTACATTTATACTCAGTAGGCCTACTGGACACAACAAATTCCACAGATCCTTGCTTTACTGGAATTTTAACAAAATTAAACAGGCATTTTATGGCAGATTAGGCCTATTTCATCTAACTTTTAGCTACAAAATAAAAAATATATATTCTATGAATCATAGCCATATATGTCGTGGCCTATACAGTAGAACTCCGGTTAACCGAAAAAATGGAGGGAGAGCCGTTTCAGATAACCAATTCTTTGGTTAACCCGTCATGTTAAAAATAGCTTATGTATTACCACGGTGTTTAACACACAATTCCCCATTTCGGTTAACTGGGGCTTTACTGTAATTGCCAAAAATGTGTGCATAAAAGAAACTGTATCAATTCAGTAGTATTATAAAGAGCTAATTTAGTCGTGAACATTTTGTGTTTGAGTAAGATGGCATCCTCCTAAAAATTCAAATACAGAAATAAGCTGTTTACAAGTGGAAAACACCCAACAGCTACAGTAGTTTTCAACTTTTAATCCAGATAGTCTGTTGTAGATAGTAGGCCTAACTAAATAATTTGAAGTTGGTCAAACAATAGTGTTTTGAACTAGATTTTTTTTCCAACATGATATACAAATTGTAAAATTATGAATGACTCAATGTGTGAAACAAAAGCCACCAAGGTTAATCAACCTAGTTTGGTGAATTTACACTATATACTCTGATATAATACACTCTAAGAGTAATGGTGTGCGACATACCGCTCAAATGTTATAGTATTTATAAACATAAAAGACACACGAAAACTTCTACACATTATCTTAAACTTTAACACTACATATTATATACAGGTTATAAATAGGTAGGCTACGCTATTTTATATAGGTTTATACACTATTATAAACCTCAAAACCATTCACCAAAGTAAAAGAAATAATTAATATTTTCTATTTCTAAGAGATAATCCCATTAATCACCAAAAACATGTTTTTGTTTTCACATGTCTTAAATCTTGTGGGCGAGCTAATGAAAATTGTTGGGGCAGTTAGTTCAAACTTTTGCGTTAAATTTGGTCTGGGGATTGTTTTGTCATAACGGTTTCTTAAATTTACAGTTCTATAAGTTTCCTGTTCAGTCCTATTTAAACTTCTTTCCTATATAATACCTATATAATATATATTGATATATATACAGGGTGAACAACTTAACTGTGCTACCATTGGTAGGTATCTCAGAAACAATTAAATTTAGAGAGAGCATTAAATGGAGAACTTCAACTAGTCTTTAATGACATGAAAAAATATGAATTCCAGTGTTAAAAAATGGCCACCATTTACCAATATAGCGGATAACTATTTTATTATGAGACACCTTTTATTTTATGTATTTGATTTTAGATGCACTTTTAAGACTTTTTTACTCTTGGCATTTTCTCTCTAAACCTACTTGTTTAGGAGCTACAGTGTGTTAAAAACTTGAAAGATTAGCTTGCCGTGTCATTATAGTCATAGGCTTTCAGCGGCGGATCCAGAGGGGGGGGGGGGCGACCGCCCCCCCTCGGGCGTACATATACATATATTTTTTACTGCATGTAATACAGTAGTGCATACAAATTGTGTAAAATAATTTGTCATACTATCTTTGGACAAAGAAATGGTATAAAACTGCCATTTTTGGAAACTTAGTTTACACCAATTTTTCGGTGGGGGTGCCCCTGAACCCCCAGACCCCCTGGTTCGCCCCCCCCCTTGTGGCTGTTCTATATCCGCCACTGAGGCCTATACCATTAGCTAGTTTTTAAAAGTTTAACACGTTGTAGCTCCTAAACAAGTAGGTTTAGACAGAAAATGCCAAGAGTAAAAAAGTATTTATTTGTGCCCAAAACCTATTCAAATCCACACATACCAATTTGTGATACTTATTTCCCGAACAATTAACATTTAAATTTCCTAAATAGCCCCTGGCAATTTCTATAGACATCAATCATTTCATTCTGTCCTGTTCAGAAACTATGTTCCTTGGCGTGCACATCGACTGCCAGTTAAAATTAACACTCCACATTGATTCTGTTTGTAAAAAATTGAGTTTTAATTTGTTCTAATATATTCTTATTGAGAAATTTGGCAACATTTTTGGACTCTTAAGCTCTAGTGGTGGCTTACTGCAGACTGGTTTTTCCTTTTCTTTCATATGCAGTTGCAGTTTGAGGAACATGAGTGTCTCAATTCCAAAAGAAACACCGTTAACTACAAAAGAAAGCCTTCAGAACAGTTTTTAAGAAGCGTCGTAAATTTTCCTGTACACTCTTTTTGTTAACAATAAAATTCTTACTTTTGCCTCCATCTGTATCTTAAACTGTCTTGTTTTTGTTAAGAAAAATGTATCTCTATAATAAAAACTACTGTGTATGGGGGAGGGGCGAAGGGGCCCCGGGCGCTCGCACCGTCCGCCCATAGATAAGTTCGTCCCTGATTACAGATAGGCCTAATTTCAAATTCAAATAATCTTTATTTGTAAGTAGTACCTTTATTTGTTCCAGGACAACTGATCTTGTAAGGGATTCAAATGAGAAAAGTTCTGCAAACTGCTGATTGATTCTGTGGTTTTACAGAGTCATGTCACACAATCGAGGGATGCGCCGAGGCAGTGGCAGAAGACCATATGAGCTTATTTGTCCTAGCAGAATCTTTAAAGTAGTAGGCGGGAACTCCTTTATCGCCAACAGCGACATCAATCCTTGGGAGGGAGGAATGGTCCCAGGTGGTTCAACAAGCAGCATGCATAATATGGCCAACGTAGGTGGAGGAGATTCCTCTTGCAATGAGTCCTCTCGCAACTACGAGGACCGTCGGCGACGCAGAACAGTGCCTTATAATAAGGTGTAGAACGGAATTAGTAATATGCATCAGCTTAACTTAGTTGTACTTTTCTCTCAAGCTATTTAAATTCCTTTGAGTACCAATGATCATAATGGGGTCTAGTTAAATAATGTTTTACAAGGAAGTTTTCATCACCAGATCAGTTAATTTATTATCTTTTCAAATACTCTATAATTTTCGACATCGCTTCAGATATTCTTCCCACTACAGTACCGCCACAACGTAAATCCTATTTCGTGCTGCCTAAGTAGGTGCAGCCTATTTTTTTCTTTAAGTCGTTTGTTCAAATCCTCGATGAAAAACATTGACAGCACAGTTGTAGCCCTTTTCTCAACAAACAACCTACTTAAATACTCTAGACCTCCATTAATATATGATAATCTTAACAATATGTAGCACAGTATGGTAACAAGGCAGTCAAAGCAATCTTATCTGTCTTTCCTCTTGCAGATAAATGTTGAACATTTTGCTGCATTCTACTGAAATTCAGTGAAAACTTTAGTTTGAATAGTCATTATTGATGTTGATTAAGTACCTTCATCCAGCTATTGCCATAAAATAATAATAGTGAGATCATTGTTCAAAATATTATTCTATTCAGAACCATCTCAGTAGGGTTAACTGATTTCATTCACTTTTTTATTCAGCCTAATCTTTTTATTATGAATTCTTGAATTATTTCCTATAAAATCCTTTTTTTTTTTTAATATTTAGTATTAATTTCTGTCACTGATGTTCTTTAAGTTTGTTTAAAAGGTTGTTACCTACTTGTATGGTTTCCAGCCAGTTGTTGACCGACGTATGGATAGTGACCGTACCAATCTACAAACCGGTTACGAACGCAAGACTTCTTATTCAAAATCTTCCGAAGATCAGAAAGAAGAGAATAAGGAAGAACAAGAAGAGGCTGAGAAACCCAATGGAGATGTCAAAATAGAACCCACTGATGTTTCTGAAGGGTGAGTCGGAAGTGAGATGTTCTCCCTTTATTTGCAAAATTTCTGTTTTTATTTTAAAATCAAAGTTATTTTTGTTATCTCCTTCCAATGACTGTCTCTAATCAAAATCTGCATATCTATTAACTTCTATTTGGTCATTAAATTCTTCCCGTTGAAAAAATTATACATCAAAACACTCAGTCAATAAACATTTACAAGCTATCTAAGAACCACCCTTTTTGCTTGAAAGTTGGCTGTTTTCAAAGCTATTTCACTGGAGCTATTTTTCTTTGTATCAATTGAATTACTGTTAGGTTATTTTTAGCGAATTTCCCTATAGGGAAGTAAGCTATTACCTACCGTAGGTGGCATGGTAAGACCTAGACCCTTGACCGATTTACTTTTTCATTTTGATGTCCCCAGAGGCCAAAAACACCATTTGTTAAAATTTGTATATATGTATATATATATATGTGTCCATGAACGCGATAACTTGAGTAATTTTTGTCCGATTTTGATGAAATTTAACGGTTTCTTAAATTTACAGTTCTATAAGTTTCCTGTTCAGTCCTATTTAAACTTCTTTCCTATATAATACCTATATAATATATATTGATATATATACAGGGTGAACAACTTAACTGTGCTACCATTGGTAGGTATCTCAGAAACAATTAAATTTAGAGAGAGCATTAAATGGAGAACTTCAACTAGTCTTTAATGACATGAAAAAATATGAATTCCAGTGTTAAAAAATGGCCACCATTTACCAATATAGCGGATAACTATTTTTTTATGAGACACCTTTTATTTTATGTATTTGATTTTAGATGCACTTTTAAGACTTTTTTACTCTTGGCATTTTCTCTCTAAACCTACTTGTTTAGGAGCTACAGTGTGTTAAAAACTTGAAAGATTAGCTTGCCGTGTCATTATAGTCATAGGCTTTCAGCGGCGGATCCAGAGGGGGGGGGGCGACCGCCCCCCCTCGGGCGTACATATACATATATTTTTTACTGCATGTAATACAGTAGTGCATACAAATTGTGTAAAATAATTTGTCATACTATCTTTGGACAAAGAAATGGTATAAAACTGCCATTTTTGGAAACTTAGTTTACACCAATTTTTCGGTGGGGGTGCCCCTGAACCCCCAGACCCCCTGGTTCGCCCCCCCCCCCTTGTGGCTGTTCTATATCCGCCACTGAGGCCTATACCATTAGCTAGTTTTTAAAAGTTTAACACGTTGTAGCTCCTAAACAAGTAGGTTTAGACAGAAAATGCCAAGAGTAAAAAAGTATTTATTTGTGCCCAAAACCTATTCAAATCCACACATACCAATTTGTGATACTTATTTCCCGAACAATTAACATTTAAATTTCCTAAATAGCCCCTGGCAATTTCTATAGACATCAATCATTTCATTCTGTCCTGTTCAGAAACTATGTTCCTTGGCGTGCACATCGACTGCCAGTTAAAATTAACACTCCACATTGATTCTGTTTGTAAAAAATTGAGTTTTAATTTGTTCTAATATATTCTTATTGAGAAATTTGGCAACATTTTTGGACTCTTAAGCTCTAGTGGTGGCTTACTGCAGACTGGTTTTTCCTTTTCTTTCATATGCAGTTGCAGTTTGAGGAACATGAGTGTCTCAATTCCAAAAGAAACACCGTTAACTACAAAAGAAAGCCTTCAGAACAGTTTTTAAGAAGCGTCGTAAATTTTCCTGTACACTCTTTTTGTTAACAATAAAATTCTTACTTTTGCCTCCATCTGTATCTTAAACTGTCTTGTTTTTGTTAAGAAAAATGTATCTCTATAATAAAAACTACTGTGTATGGGGGAGGGGCGAAGGGGCCCCGGGCGCTCGCACCGTCCGCCCATAGATAAGTTCGTCCCTGATTACAGATAGGCCTAATTTCAAATTCAAATAATCTTTATTTGTAAGTAGTACCTTTATTTGTTCCAGGACAACTGATCTTGTAAGGGATTCAAATGAGAAAAGTTCTGCAAACTGCTGATTGATTCTGTGGTTTTACAGAGTCATGTCACACAATCGAGGGATGCGCCGAGGCAGTGGCAGAAGACCATATGAGCTTATTTGTCCTAGCAGAATCTTTAAAGTAGTAGGCGGGAACTCCTTTATCGCCAACAGCGACATCAATCCTTGGGAGGGAGGAATGGTCCCAGGTGGTTCAACAAGCAGCATGCATAATATGGCCAACGTAGGTGGAGGAGATTCCTCTTGCAATGAGTCCTCTCGCAACTACGAGGACCGTCGGCGACGCAGAACAGTGCCGTATAATAAGGTGTAGAACGGAATTAGTAATATGCATCAGCTTAACTTAGTTGTACTTTTCTCTCAAGCTATTTAAATTCCTTTGAGTACCAATGATCATAATGGGGTCTAGTTAAATAATGTTTTACAAGGAAGTTTTCATCACCAGATCAGTTAATTTATTATCTTTTCAAATACTCTATAATTTTCGACATCGCTTCAGATATTCTTCCCACTACAGTACCGCCACAACGTAAATCCTATTTCGTGCTGCCTAAGTAGGTGCAGCCTATTTTTTTCTTTAAGTCGTTTGTTCAAATCCTCGATGAAAAACATTGACAGCACAGTTGTAGCCCTTTTCTCAACAAACAACCTACTTAAATACTCTAGACCTCCATTAATATATGATAATCTTAACAATATGTAGCACAGTATGGTAACAAGGCAGTCAAAGCAATCTTATCTGTCTTTCCTCTTGCAGATAAATGTTGAACATTTTGCTGCATTCTACTGAAATTCAGTGAAAACTTTAGTTTGAATAGTCATTATTGATGTTGATTAAGTACCTTCATCCAGCTATTGCCATAAAATAATAATAGTGAGATCATTGTTCAAAATATTATTCTATTCAGAACCATCTCAGTAGGGTTAACTGATTTCATTCACTTTTTTATTCAGCCTAATCTTTTTATTATGAATTCTTGAATTATTTCCTATAAAATCCTTTTTTTTTTTTAATATTTAGTATTAATTTCTGTCACTGATGTTCTTTAAGTTTGTTTAAAAGGTTGTTACCTACTTGTATGGTTTCCAGCCAGTTGTTGACCGACGTATGGATAGTGACCGTACCAATCTACAAACCGGTTACGAACGCAAGACTTCTTATTCAAAATCTTCCGAAGATCAGAAAGAAGAGAATAAGGAAGAACAAGAAGAGGCTGAGAAACCCAATGGAGATGTCAAAATAGAACCCACTGATGTTTCTGAAGGGTGAGTCGGAAGTGAGATGTTCTCCCTTTATTTGCAAAATTTCTGTTTTTATTTTAAAATCAAAGTTATTTTTGTTATCTCCTTCCAATGACTGTCTCTAATCAAAATCTGCATATCTATTAACTTCTATTTGGTCATTAAATTCTTCCCGTTGAAAAAATTATACATCAAAACACTCAGTCAATAAACATTTACAAGCTATCTAAGAACCACCCTTTTTGCTTGAAAGTTGGCTGTTTTCAAAGCTATTTCACTGGAGCTATTTTTCTTTGTATCAATTGAATTACTGTTAGGTTATTTTTAGCGAATTTCCCTATAAGGAAGTAAGCTATTACCTACCGTAGGTGGCATGGTAAGACCTAGACCCTTGACCGATTTACTTTTTCATTTTGATGTCCCCAGAGGCCAAAAACACCATTTGTTAAAATTTGTATATATGTATATATATATATGTGTCCATGAACGCGATAACTTGAGTAATTTTTGTCCGATTTTGATGAAATTTAACGGTTTCTTAAATTTACAGTTCTATAAGTTTCCTGTTCAGTCCTATTTAAACTTCTTTCCTATATAATACCTATATAATATATATTGATATATATACAGGGTGAATAACTTAACTGTGCTACCATTGGTAGGTATCTCAGAAACAATTAAATTTAGAGAGAGCATTAAATGGAGAACTTCAACTAGTCTTTAATGACATGAAAAAATATGAATTCCAGTGTTAAAAAATGGCCACCATTTACCAATATAGCGGATTTTTTTTTTTTATGAGACACCTTTTATTTTATGTATTTGATTTTAGATGCACTTTTAAGACTTTTTTACTCTTGGCATTTTCTCTCTAAACCTACTTGTTTAGGAGCTACAGTGTGTTAAAAACTTGAAAGATTAGCTTGCCGTGTCATTATAGTCATAGGCTTTCAGCGGCGGATCCAGAGGGGGGGGGGGCGACCGCCCCCCCTCGGGCGTACATATACATATATTTTTTACTGCATGTAATACAGTAGTGCATACAAATTGTGTAAAATAATTTGTCATACTATCTTTGGACAAAGAAATGGTATAAAACTGCCATTTTTGGAAACTTAGTTTACACCAATTTTTCGGTGGGGGTGCCCCTGAACCCCCAGACCCCCTGGTTCGCCCCCCCCCCCCCTTGTGGCTGTTCTATATCCGCCACTGAGGCCTATACCATTAGCTAGTTTTTAAAAGTTTAACACGTTGTAGCTCCTAAACAAGTAGGTTTAGACAGAAAATGCCAAGAGTAAAAAAGTATTTATTTGTGCCCAAAACCTATTCAAATCCACACATACCAATTTGTGATACTTATTTCCCGAACAATTAACATTTAAATTTCCTAAATAGCCCCTGGCAATTTCTATAGACATCAATCATTTCATTCTGTCCTGTTCAGAAACTATGTTCCTTGGCGTGCACATCGACTGCCAGTTAAAATTAACACTCCACATTGATTCTGTTTGTAAAAAATTGAGTTTTAATTTGTTCTAATATATTCTTATTGAGAAATTTGGCAACATTTTTGGACTCTTAAGCTCTAGTGGTGGCTTACTGCAGACTGGTTTTTCCTTTTCTTTCATATGCAGTTGCAGTTTGAGGAACATGAGTGTCTCAATTCCAAAAGAAACACCGTTAACTACAAAAGAAAGCCTTCAGAACAGTTTTTAAGAAGCGTCGTAAATTTTCCTGTACACTCTTTTTGTTAACAATAAAATTCTTACTTTTGCCTCCATCTGTATCTTCAACTGTCTTGTTTTTGTTAAGAAAAATGTATCTCTATAATAAAAACTACTGTGTATGGGGGAGGGGCGAAGGGGCCCCGGGCGCTCGCACCGTCCGCCCATAGATAAGTTCGTCCCTGATTACAGATAGGCCTAATTTCAAATTCAAATAATCTTTATTTGTAAGTAGTACCTTTATTTGTTCCAGGACAACTGATCTTGTAAGGGATTCAAATGAGAAAAGTTCTGCAAACTGCTGATTGATTCTGTGGTTTTACAGAGTCATGTCACACAATCGAGGGATGCGCCGAGGCAGTGGCAGAAGACCATATGAGCTTATTTGTCCTAGCAGAATCTTTAAAGTAGTAGGCGGGAACTCCTTTATCGCCAACAGCGACATCAATCCTTGGGAGGGAGGAATGGTCCCAGGTGGTTCAACAAGCAGCATGCATAATATGGCCAACGTAGGTGGAGGAGATTCCTCTTGCAATGAGTCCTCTCGCAACTACGAGGACCGTCGGCGACGCAGAACAGTGCCGTATAATAAGGTATAGAACGGAATTAGTAATATGCATCAGCTTAACTTAGTTGTACTTTTCTCTCAAGCTATTTAAATTCCTTTGAGTACCAATGATCATAATGGGGTCTAGTTAAATAATGTTTTACAAGGAAGTTTTCATCACCAGATCAGTTAATTTATTATCTTTTCAAATACTCTATAATTTTCGACATCGCTTCAGATATTCTTCCCACTACAGTACCGCCACAACGTAAATCCTATTTCGTGCTGCCTAAGTAGGTGCAGCCTATTTTTTTCTTTAAGTCGTTTGTTCAAATCCTTGATGAAAAACATTGACAGCACAGTTGTAGCCCTTTTCTCAACAAACAACGTACTTAAATACTCTAGACCTCCATTAATATATGATAATCTTAACAATATGTAGCACAGTATGGTAACAAGGCAGTCAAAGCAATCTTATCTGTCTTTCCTCTTGCAGATAAATGTTGAACATTTTGCTGCATTCTACTGAAATTCAGTGAAAACTTTAGTTTGAATAGTCATTATTGATGTTGATTAAGTACCTTCATCCAGCTATTGCCATAAAATAATAATAGTGAGATCATTGTTCAAAATATTATTCTATTCAGAACCATCTCAGTAGGGTTAACTGATTTCATTCACTTTTTTATTCAGCCTAATCTTTTTATTATGAATTCTTGAATTATTTCCTATAAAATCCTTTTTTTTTTTAATATTTAGTATTAATTTCTGTCACTGATGTTCTTTAAGTTTGTTTAAAAGGTTGTTACCTACTTGTATGGTTTCCAGCCAGTTGTTGACCGACGTATGGATAGTGACCGTACCAATCTACAAACCGGTTACGAACGCAAGACTTCTTATTCAAAATCTTCCGAAGATCAGAAAGAAGAGAATAAGGAAGAACAAGAAGAGGCTGAGAAACCCAATGGAGATGTCAAAATAGAACCCACTGATGTTTCTGAAGGGTGAGTCGGAAGTGAGATGTTCTCCCTTTATTTGCAAAATTTCTGTTTTTATTTTAAAATCAAAGTTATTTTTGTTATCTCCTTCCAATGACTGTCTCTAATCAAAATCTGCATATCTATTAACTTCTATTTGGTCATTAAATTCTTCCCGTTGAAAAAATTATACATCAAAACACTCAGTCAATAAACATTTAAGTTAAACAAAAGTTGGCTGTTTTCAAAGCTATTTCACTGGAGCTATTTTTCTTTGTATCAATTGAATTACTGTTAGGTTATTTTTAGCGAATTTCCCTATAGGGAAGTAAGCTATTACCTACCGTAGGTGGCATGGTAAGACCTAGACCCTTGACCGATTTACTTTTTCATTTTGATGTCCCCAGAGGCCAAAAACACCATTTGTTAAAATTTGTATATATGTATACATATATATGTGTCCATGAACGCGATAACTTGAGTAATTTTGTCCGATTTTGATGAAATTTGGTTTAAAGGTGTAAAGCAGGATAAACTTGAATGAGTTTGTGAACCAGCATGATTGGACTATGGGAACAGCGGGGGGGGGGGGGTTTATTGGGGGTTTTATGGGGGTAAAAATAGGTTTTTCCCATTTTTGACCCTAAAAACACAAAATTCACAATTACTTTCCAAACCATTATGTAGAGCTTAAAGAAACAAATAATTTAGTATATTGAAGCGTTATTATGCACCTGAGGGTTACGGAGAAAATTAAAAAAAATTGTAATTTTAAAATTCCTATGTTATTCTTATGGAGAATAAGTCAACTGTAGTAGTTTGCTTATTTATGAACATATTTTTATCAAATTTGGAAAATACATTAATTTCTTACTAAACTACAGTACCTATTAACATTTTACATTAAAAAACACTTTTTTACTCGCCCAGTTGCAGCAAACCTAAGTACCGTACTCGTTAAACTAATTCTATTTAAATAGGGAATAAATGTTATATATTTATGGAGACATTTTAGTGTAAATCCAATGAGGAAAATGGAAATTCGCAAAGACTGCAGGTTTATTACTTATTAACATGAGGCATTTTAACCCAACTTTCTGACTTGTATTGGCCTACAATATTTAAAAGGTTGAGTGAAAGTTCATTATTTAAGTCAATTAACACCATTCTTAAAATATAATGTTAGTACATTAGAACCTCGATTAACCGTTACTCTCTGTTATCCACCCCAAGAAATGGTACGTATATTTCTAAATGTCACTATATTTCACTGTACGAACATTGAATACGTACAACATTAAAAATACTACTGCTGTATTACTCTTGTATGTAAGTAATTTAAATATAAATATGTATTATTGACTTAAACCTGGTTTAATTTCTTACATAACCTTTTAATTCAACTTAGTGTAAAGGTTAATAACATGATTTCTGTTGTCATCTACAGTAGGCCCTTAACCAAACCTAGCGGGGCGGGAATTAGGTCGGATAGGTTAAATGTCGGTTAAAATGGATAATCCCTAAAAACTAAAAAAAAATAAATGAAATGCTATTAATTTGTTATTATTTAATCATTATTCTGAAGTTGTACGTGCCCTATTTACAAAATAAACTACACTTATCTCCTTTTTCTTAATTTTTGATGATCAGAAATAAACCAAAACACGCTAAAGTCAAATACTTTCAGCGGAATAAATTATACAAGCTAGCTGCACATAAATACAATCTGCAATAAAGCCTCTAAAGCTCTGGGGTTTGTCATTAGATGTGGTAATTACGGACTGGACGTAGATGCTCTAAAAACTCTGTACATGACTTAAGTTAGGTATAACGCTATGTACAAACAAACTATGTACGCTATGTATAAAGAATGTTTTGACTTTGACTTAGGCCTGTGCTGGAATATGGTAGCTTGATATGGAATCCACAAAAAATAAATATCAAGAGTATTTGATTTGTTTATTTTGCAAACCACTAACACAAATTGGTATGATGATGTTATAACAAAATAATATAGAATGCTTGTATATAGACAGGGGTGCCCACAAGGGGGGGCTGTGACGCAGACTGCGTCATTGAAATTCTTGGGGGGGGGGGGAGGTGGCTTAAGTTAATAGCAACAGTGTTCAACGTGACTACAATCAAACATATATTACGAAGTCACCAGATAGAAAGTTGATTAATTAATGACAATAGTTATATTATTTCATTCAATTAGTTGAAATAGGATTTTAGGATAGCTTAGGATTCGTGTAGGAAGTTATTATTCAAGATTAGCAGTGAGAACTGAGAGGGAGGACACGGAATGGCTCAACTGCTGAGATAAAGATAATAACGCGTGGCACAGACACAAGCTATACCGTAGACGTAGCACAGAATGCTTTGTTGACATAAAGCTCGTTAAAATACAATCAAGTAGCATATGCTACAATACTTTACACTATTGTGTAGATATTCAATTTCCTGAGTTAATAGGGAGGGGGGTAATAAAAAATATGGTTAATCCAATATAGTATAAAAACAGATGACAAACCCATTAAAACGCTGTAAACAGCCATTAACGTAACGATTTGCATTTTTATAAACGAATGGGAGGACACGGAATGGCTCAACTGCTGTGAGCTGTGATAGATAAAGATAGCGCGTGGTACAGACACGTCCAGCTACACCGCGACTTAGCACAGAACGCTTTGTTGACATAAAGCTCGATAAAATACAATCAAGTAGCATATGCTACAATACTTTACACTATTGTGTAGATACTCGATTACCTGAGTTAATAGGGAGGGGTGCACCTAATAAAAAATACGGTTAATCCAATATAGTATAAAAATAGATGACAAACCCATTAAAACGCTGTAAACAGCCATTAACGTCAAGATTTGCATTTTTATAAACAAAATTCAATATTGCACAATCATTATTATTGTGCAATAATGACATTTCAAATCATTTATCTTGGTTCAGTTGTACAAACGGCAACGTTTAAAATAATTATAGCTCACTCAAACTCAACTAATAACTAGCCAAACACTGCATTGCTATAAATAACGTAATTATTAAACCTTAGAAATTGTTATAAGCTACTGCTCATGACAGACAGATAGGCTACCGGTAGGTGCTGTATCACAACATAGGAATTGATAGATAAGTAATAAAAAAGTGTAAAATTATATTTAGAGATAATAAAAACACTCTTAAAAAGTCTTGTCTTGTTATTCTTTTTCTTTGTTCTTCTTTTCTTTATTAGGTTTCTCTTCAATTCATACATAAATTCAACCAGTCGCCATATTTAGGCCTACTCTATGCTCAATCACACACAGCATTACTAAAGGTCCGTGGTTAATAATCACTCAATCACAGTTTACTAAGCATTATATCGTCATCATTCCCCAGCTGTTGTATCTGAAATCTGTTGTAACATAGCGCACAGCAGACAGAGGTGTAAAACGGAGCATACGATTGTTGGCACAAACGTTATTTCCATTTCATTTTCATCAAAGGAGCTGTGATTTTTCCAAAGAGAGGGAGAGGGGGTCGTTATATCAAGAGAAAGACGCTGACAATTCGATAAGCAGAGGTTACGAACGCTATAGGCCTATAGATATTCTGGCAATAAAAAATTCCTTAAATTGAGGTGACTTATAAAACTCTAATTTTATTTATATAGAAACATAAGTTTTCCAGTCCTGTACAACACTGATTCACGGTCTTTTCCTGGTAATCAAAATTCAAGTACAACTTGATACACACAGAATCTCCGGTTTTTCTCGACCTGGATGATGGCTATTTATTTAATTTAATTTACAGTTACGTATTAGTACTCGTGATAAATCAAACCCGTAAGCCAAAGCCACACAGTTATTAATCCCACTTGGTTTTGGATTTGCTTACAAACATGATCGGAAATGGTTAGGGCCTACACAGTATTCGTAAACAACATTTATGTAAACATATCAGTGACAGCTAGAAAAAGGAATCTTTATCAAAACAGCTGTTCGTAATTTCATATATGACGTGTCCTCTTAACAGATTATTAGTATTTCATAAATAACGTATGTCGTAAACATGGAGGAAAAAACTTGAAAAATCACACAAAGATTGGGTTTTTGATCGTCCGTTATTTTATTTCCAAAATACTGAGGCCATATTTTAATGGATAACAACACTCTCGCCAATCCTGTGAATACAATTAAACCATTAGAATCATAATCGGTACTCTAGTTTTCTTTAGAGTAGGCTACGTAAAATGCCTTCTAGGCCGTGACAAACGGACATAAATTGAGATAAGACATGTTTAAACTTCTTCAATGTATAAAACGTAAAAATAACCCAAAATATGTATAATTCTGAGCAATGAACAGACAAAACTATAACTTTATTAGATTAACTGGATTTGAATTTTCAATATCTAAAAAACGTATAAAACTTATTTAAGTTTTACAAATAATACTGGGCGGGGGAATAATGTTTCTCATTTGTTGTGTAACTCATTTATGGTGGGGGGGCTCTTGCTTAATTGTGGGGGGGGGGTGCGTCATGAGTCTAGGGGGGAATGGGCACCCCTGATATAGACCCTAGCTTAACATACATTTACGTGCCCTTTCTTAAACAAACCTGTACTTGATTTTTATAGGGAAGAGATGAAGGAAGAAGAAACCAAATCTTGCCACCCCAACGAGGCAGAAACAGAGGTAATTTTAGATAAGTTCTTCGTTTGGTTTTTAATTTAAATTTTTTACATTCTTTTTGCAAGAACAAAGGCTTAGAAAAGATTAAGCTAATAGCTGATGTAGTTGGCCTCCTCTGCCGTCTTTCATGCCATGATGTCCGTCTGGTGGGAAAGTGACGAGTTCAAGCCAGGTAATTGACACAGAAAACTCATCTTTATATTATTTCTCTTTGACCCAAGTTAATAGATTTTTTTTACAAAAACGTAAAAATATGTACTACATTTTGAAGCTAAATATATATTTGTATTTTTTCAGACCGAACTGACCTCGATTCCCGCAGTTCTGCTCAACTGCCACGTGTGCTGTAAAAACATGTGGGATGGAATTGTAAGTTGATTCTGTCAAAGTTTTTCCATTTTTATGACTGGAATATATTCATTAATTATGTACTTAATTATGTTAATTATGTACCTAATTATGTGTGTGAGAGGTACGGATGTTTTAGATTTTGAGTAAACACAGATAATAGCCGTTTTTTTCTTTTTGCAAACGTCTTGTTAACACGTTCAGCGTGAAGGGCGAGAATTCTCGTCCCGCTGTACCGGCCCCACTGACGCGGGGCGGGAAATGCCGTGCTTCACCAATGCCAAAAACCTTGCTTCAATGTGAGCTCAGTTATTGCCGGAGAACGTTATAACTGTTGACAGCCTGTAGCTTAGAATATAAGCTTTATTCTGGTTTAGGTTGGTATTAAAATGTCCTGTAAAATCCCTTCTGGCAATGCTTTTGTCCCGGTTCCGGCAATTTTCTCTCTTCGAGCCACATTACAAAGACACTGGCTACAGATCCAGGCAATGCTGCTACTTTTGGGTGTTTCAGTTAACTACGTCCACTGTCGGGGTAACGCAGCACAATCATCACTGCTCTTTTTTTATTCCTCACACTGAAATATTTTATTTAGTTGCACACTGGGGCTTCGCCCGGGCCTCACCGCCATTGGCGCCTGTTTGAAGGTATGCCGCACTGAACGTGTTGAGTAAAAAGATCATGATAACGGAAAATGATCCTAGAGATGTTACCATGCTTGTGGAAGCTGCTGTGATCACAAAAGATAATTAAAGATGTTGCTTGTAAAGGTGAGAGATGATCATAGATGCTGCTGCGACAGTGTAATTCTGTATAATAATTTAACGTAAAAACTGTGAAAATGTTTTATTGTGTTAAGTAAGGGTAATCTAGATGTGAGGCACAAGGTTTTGGGATATAAGTTTACCAGTCATCAATGTTTGTGGTTATACGGTTACGGCAACATACTGAAAAAAAAAACAAGATAAAGTCTGAAATAGTAGTAATATAATATGTACTAAAAAAAAAACTTAACACATTTATAACGGTTTGAGGAGTTTTGGTTGATTTTAGTTTGTAGAATTTTATGCACATATTTACAAATTCCATTGGTGAGACTGTCACACATGTTCTAATTTTTACAATAGAATGCTATTGTGCAATGTTATATTCTTTTTTTTTCTTGTTTTTTTCAGTCCTTCATTAACCATTTGAATGGAAAACTTCACCAGCTGATGATGGATGGTCTGATTGAGAAGTACAAGCTCAAAGTGAACCTGCTTCGTTATGAGATCAGAGTAAGTTCCCAAGATCGTATGCCTGAATTTGTAGGTCCTATCAATAAAACAACTTGGGGTGAACAATAATTTGACTTTTTTGATTAAGTGCTTTATGGTCTTGGCCTGTCCCTGTTAGATAAGATAAGATAAGGTAAGTTCCCAAACATGAAGTGTAAAATGTTGGCCGACTCAGTCGTATTCGCCCTTGTCCAGTCTTGGGGTTGGCCAAACGTCTTTGAAATGTTTTGTGTAAGTAAATCAAATACATTTACTGTATGTGTGTACAATATTTTACAATATGTGTGTCAATATTTAATGTATATTGATGACACAAATTTGTATCAGTGAAGATGGAATATTTTACAACGGGGCAACCTAAGCCTTGAAGCTATAAGGATTTACGTTAAATTTGCATTGTATAATTTGGACCCTGGTCTAATAAACTTGTGTCTGTTTAGATGGCGGAACAACAGCGTGAGATAGAATTGGAACTCAAGCAGCGTCACGGGCTCATTCCTTCCACCAAGCATCGCGAATACTGCACCATTTGCGACCTCCACGTCTGTGGAAGCTTGGTTTCTCACCAAAAGAACGTGCTCCACCAGGTATTCTAAGTTTGACTATTCGGGTTTAACAGGGTGTCAACTAGTCATTGAAGTCGCATAACAGGATGTCAAAGGAACAGGAACTCAGGGAACTCCAGGAAGTTTATGGTGGCTTAAATGATGATTTTACAAAAACATTCATAACTCCTTAACGGTTTAAGCTACAGCATTGTGATATGGTGAAAATGTTCTCCTTATTGTTTGTTCTCTTTGTGCAAAAGGTACAATTCTTAACAGTTTCAAAATGGCTGATATTTGAAATATTTTATGCCAAATTCCACAAACTGATTTTAATTTTACCAACTAATTGCAAGAATGGTGATTTTATTAGTTATATCTTATTCAGCTTAGATTGGACAAAAAATAACTGAGAATTTTTTTTCCTTGCTATACATATCCATTCTTCCATTTAAACTATGTAAAAATGGTTTTAACATTTCTTAGCCCTCCAAGTGGCCACAGGTAGTTTCCATGGGGCCAAGCCAAATTGCCTTTTTTTTCAGACATTTTTAAAAAATCATATAACTATGGTTGGAATATCAACTGGTTTTTCTTTTCATAAAGTCCAAGGGAATTAAAATACGTAAAAAGAATTTGGACTTTTCTCTAAACTCCAAAAACAAAAAGAGAAAATTTGAGTCCTGTGCTATAAATTCCAATAAAACAAAACTATTTTGTGGGTACTGTACATTACAACCAATAATAATGTAATTAGGGGATATTACATGAGCTGTTACATGGGGTCTCTCAGGCTGATGAAAAATAAAAATGGTAACCATTCTGTAATGGGTTGAGATAGAGAGAGACCTCTAGTTTTTGCCGATATTCTTTTTAAACTAATTGCTTTTAAAATGAGGTGTCACTTGATGGGACATTACATTTAAAATTTTTGAGCTGCCCCCAAAATAACCTCCATTTGGTTTTCGGACAAAATTGGGATGCCAACAAAAAAGTGCACTTTTATGCTATATAGAGGTGTGCGGAGTTTGATATTCCTAGTCTAACCCATTTAAAAGCTAATAGGGGTCGCCAGACATTTTATTTACTTTGTAAAGCTTTAGTTAATTTTTAAATAAGGCGATTGAATTAACAGTCATATTTTTCTACAGAATTTGAAGGAATTTTTGTGCCCCAAATGTTCCTACTGCAACATGGAGTTTAACACACGTTTGGAGTGGGACAAGCATCTTCTTCAGTACTCTCATCTCGAGGTAAGTACAGGGAGCGGCAGAAATATGTGACGGTTTTCAAGCGAGTACAGTCCGGCAGCCGAGTGGAGAAGGGTGGTGGAGAGCAGCTCATTCTCAAGGCCAAGTGACCCCATTTCAGTCGCCATGAAGCAGTGGACTGGTATACATCGCGCGTTTGTCTTTGAGGCGTATTTTAAAAGTGGCTTCTGTTGGATTCTGTTGTTGATACGCAACGTAAGTTTCGAAGGCATTTTAATGTGGCTCGTGGGGAGCCTATCCCATCCCGAAACAACATCAAATTTTGGGTGGATACCCTTAGATCCACAGGATCAACTATTCGACCAATACCTGAAATTCTGTTTGTTTACATAGCCATGTAGGTGAAAATGGGCCTCATCACTCATTATAAGAATTTTTTCGTCATCCATCAAATCAATCATTTGCTCTGAAAATGTTTGACGATTAGCGTGGTCGTGAGGCTGAAGTTTTTGGACGATTGCTATTTTATATGGGTGAAAGTGAAGGTCTGAGTGCAAAGTTCGTCGAATAGAGCGCTAAGACATGTCAAGAGCAGCAGCTTGTCTACGCGCCGGGCGATGCGGGCTCGTTAGCACAGCTTGTCGCACTCGCTCCACGTTCTCCGGCGTCTTCACTGACCTTGGACAGCCTGTAGGCCTACGTTTTGCAGTTGATCCTGTGGATCTAAAGGTATCCACCCACAATTTGATGGTGTTTCAGGATGGGATAGGTTCCCCACGAGCCACATTAAAATGCCTACGAAACTTACGTTGCGTATCAACAAGAGAATCGCCACTTTTAAAATACGCCTCAACGACAAACGCGCGATGTATACCGGTCCACTGCTCCATGGCGACTGAAATGGGGTCACTTGGCTTTGAGAATGAGCCGCTCCCCACCACCCTCCTCCACTCGGCTGCCGGACTGTACTCGCTTGAAAACCGTCAGATATTTCTACCGCTTCCTATAGGTTTTATAATTTTTGTTATTGGTTACACAGATATATTAAGTTCTAAAACCCATCATACTACCTTGAACTCTCTTTCCCCTTCTATTGGAAGGGGGGTGAGACATACACAGATTATGTAAAAAGATATGGTGTAATTTGTTTTATTTTACGATGGTGTTTAGAGATTAATATTATCAACAGAAATTGTAGGTCTAATTTCTATTTAAAAAATTGTCCATTTCTCCTGCTAGTATTTACTAGGAGTTGGTTGATGTTTTTCAGTATAGTTTTACCAATATTAATTTTTGTATACAGAAAGTAGCTGAGTTCCGTCGAGCCACAAAACCTAACTTGAAGGATGATGATTTTGAGAAAGACGGCGAGGAAGGAGAGGAGAAGAAAGGCGTGAACGAAATGGCTCAGGGCATTGACATAGAGCCGAGTAAACTCCCCATGTACAGCCCCTCAGTTCCTGTTGGTAAATAAAATTTTTTAAATATTAGGTTATGAAGAATTAGTCTTTCTGCCTGTCTATGAACAAATAGAGGTTTATTTTTCAATTTTTTGAAAAGTTTGTTGATTCAAATGCAGTACATTTAACACTTAACAAGACCAAATAAATATAGGAGTCAGGATTTTGTGTGTTAAATTTAGTTATAAATCCAAATAGGGCATCCCACTCTGTTCTAAATTCATTCTCTATTCATATTTGGATTAAAATACTCTGTAAATTGTATCCCCGTCTAAAGTTAGTAGATATAGTAACTCATTGAATATGTTTTTCCAGGAAAAGACTTGTTGATACAAGTGAACATGTACAAGTGCCGAGTATGCAATTGCTACATTCAGAGTGAAGAAGAGTCTAAACTCCACTGTCGCACATTGTCTCATTACACCAACTACTGCAAAGCCGTGCGAGCAAAGGTAAATAGTTATTTGTGCAACTAGTGAGCAAAGTGAGCAATTGACTCACTCGAGAGAAATACTTACTCACGAGCCGTAGGCGAGTGAGGAATGGTTTCTCGAGTGTGGCAATTGCACTTTGCACTCGAGTTGCACATTATATTTTTCCTACAGTTACCATAAAACAAATAAATTGGTAAAGAAACGTAACCTATTTTTACACAGAAGTGAACTTTTAATATGACATTTAATGATACAACAGTACAACAGCTGACCAGCTGATTTACAGCCAGTGCTGCCAACGTATTTCGCGCGCATAAGACCTTGTCTGCATGTTACACGCTCACTATTTCGTGCCTTCACATTGAAAATCTGGAGTAAGACAAAGTAATTAGAGTGAGACAATGTTAACATTGTCTCACTGGTGAGCGAATTGGCCACTTTGCTTTCTCAAATCAGTGAGAGAACATGTACATTGTTTGGTAACCGTAGGAAAAATATTTTTTTGTTGCCTAATATTGTCACTTGTAATAAGTTTAAAAGAGGCCTCAGACATTGCAACCCCATATATGAAGTGTATAAAGTTTAGTAAATGTCAGGTTCATTTAAAATTAATGGTTATTTTGTGTGACCACCGAAGAGGAAAATTGAAATGAACAAGAATATGTGTCGGGATGGAAATACTTCGTTTATGTGACAAAAATTCATCCCAAGGACTTGCCAATATTGTGACAAAAGAGAATTTGGATATGACATATACAGAATGTATGATTGCAGAAGACTGTGATCAGTGTGTGTGTGAAGTTATGTTCAGTGGCGGTTCTAGGACCTTGTCAAGGGGGGGGGGGGGTCTTGTGCCATATCCTAAAAGCTCTTTACTGACTTTCTAAAGCCATTTGTCTATATCTGTGTCCAACTGTCCATAAACCTCCCATTTCACGTGTTATTTGTCTTTGTTATGAGCAAGACTTCTTACATTCTATTTTATCTGCCGTTTTTGAAAGAACCATTGGGTCTAGATGTGTCCACTGGGGCCAGCTAATCAGCTGGTTTATATTAATGTCACCAACTAACAGCTGATTGGGTTACATGCAACAGGAAAATAAACTGTGATATTGATAAATAATTTTCACACTGGTTCTAACATCCGTTTTTCATGTTCTATGTTATCTGCTGTTTTTGAATGAACTATTGGGTCTATAAGTGCTTGCTGGGGTTCAAATGAAAGCTAATTAAATTATCTTTCATTTAATTCCATATAGATTTTTTTTGATGAGTACTTTTAACAATATGACACAAAATAATAGACCATGACTAAGCTTTTTAATTTTTTTGAAGATTTCTATCGTTTTTAAAGTGTTGTAGATTCATTGATAATGGACGTATTGGAGTCGTTATAGTCTCAAACTTTAGCAAATTTTATACTGTTTTGACAGGATAAGGCATTATTTTCTGTTAGAGGCATACTTTAGAAGATATTTAGCAAAAAGTGAAAAAAGTGTCTGATTTTTACGTATTTTTGGCTACTACGCCGGTAGCACAGGTCTTTCGAAGCTGCAAACTTGGTTTCTTATTTGTAGTATAGGTCCTAACAACATACTAAAAAATTAGAACTACATGACCTTTTGCAAGCAAGACCCTTTTTTATGTTTAATTTGACTGGACTATGTCCGAACCGGAGCGGGAAGGGCTCTAATCCATACAGCTCTTATAACTAGAAAAATTTTAAATGAAAAAATAGTTTCTTAATTTTTAGAAGTTACTCAAAGTATGTTAAGATGTTTTGTACTGTACTAATACAATCGATTTTCTTGGATATATCAGGTATAAGGGCTCTCTAGAACCAAGAATTATATATAGGGAAGAAAGTTTTAACATCACATCTTTACAAATTCCATCAGGAGCAAGGGACTTCCGAGGCATGTTTTTTAGTGTTTTCACAGGGGAAAGAAGACTCTTAACCCTCCAAGGTTTATCATCTCGGTTTCAGTGAACATTCATCTATTAATCATTGGGCACGATATTAAAGACCTAACTTGGATTGAGTTGATTAATTTATGTTCCATCAACACAGTCTTATTTACCCACAGGCTTAGTAAACGACACTGAAAAAATGTCAAAAATATTTTATGTAACTTGTGTTTTTTTGATTATTAAAAGGTTATTGTTAACTGTGGTAATAAGTTCAAATTGAATTCAATTTTGAATTAGTGTAATTAATTTCATTAGAAATTTTAAGCCCATCACACTGGTAGTATATCTGCTGGCTGGCCGATATCAATGTGCTGACAAAATTATTGTTCATCTGCTCTTTGGGAAAATACACACCGTCCCTGTGGGCTCACAGATGCTATCGTCTGTATTCAAACCGACACATTTAAATCGCTCTGTGAGCAATTCAGCTCAGATATCTGTGCCCAGACTATACCCCTCTATTATTAGTGTGTTGAGCCTACTGCCAGGTGCTCTTTGCTACATTATACATTTGCAATGATTCATGTATTCTTTTTTATCTTCTGTTCCATATACATCAGCCAATCTTTTTTGGATTCATAATAACCTTGATATTTGTCATCATCCAATTCCAGGTCATCAAACAATGAAATTTCTTAAAAACCACTCTCTTCCTTTTTATTGAGTCTTAGTAATCCCTCTTGCTAATAAAGTTTCGTTATTACTACAGTTGGACTATTTTTCCATCCATGGCACACCAGCAAAAAACCAACTTTGGCGTCAAGGTATCCTAGCCATCATAGTGGTTTACTATCTTGCGAACAAACCCACCCACTCCCGTTGTCTTTGTGAGGTCCTCGCCTCACATTGCCACTGCCATCTATCATATCTATTGCAGTATTATAAGTTAAATTTCATTCAAAGGATAATTTTTCATTGAGCAAATGAATGGGACTATTTTTATACTATCGGTATATTTCAAACTCTTCGATAAGCACTAAAATTAAATATTATAATAAATGTATAATAAAGAGGATAGTAGCTAGCTTACCTTCAAGAAATACAGGTACACACCATAGAATATGTCGAAGAAAGTAGATTTGTAAGGCTGTATTACAAATCTTGAAAACCACTCGTCCATATCCAGATGAACGGTTTTAATTTGATTTTATGTGTTGATTAGGCTACCTTCAGAAGAAGTTCCATCGGTACTGGCGGACCTGGCTTTCCCGAAGGACTTGGCAGCAGCGGAATGATGTTTGGCAGAGGAGAAGAGCAAGACGAGGACCGAGTAGAAGATCTGTCAATGGGTCGGAAACCTGAACCGCCTTCTAGAGTCATCATGCCCCCTATGAGCCAAGCCACTGCCACCGCGATGCTCACAACTGGCTCCGACTCTCACTCGAACGCTAGAGACTAAGTGTTCACATTCAACAAGTGTTAAAATTTTGGTGCGGAAAAAATATTTCAAAACTTAAATTTTATTTTTAACCATTCACAGTGCATTCTTACCACACAATCCAAGGGTTTTGTTGTTTCCCAAACAGTAAAAGGGTTTAGGATTCATCAGTGTGTTCAAAATTATTTGAAATCAATCATATTTTGATAAACATATAAGACACACATACTTCTGGGTTGTGAGGGAAGAAAGTTGCACTTATAAAGAAAATTACCAAACTTTCAAAAATTAGCGAAAAATTCATACGGTGTTTTGGTATAAAAATTATCAGTTCTAATCACAGTTTTTTTTTCACAGCGCCAACTTTCAACACTCGTTGATCTATTTAAAGGAACAAGATTATTAGTTGTAGTATTTGTAATTACCCTTGTGGTGTAATAGCTCAATGCCTTATTGTCGGTGTAGTGCAATTGTCGATCATCGAAGTGGACATTTTCAAAACATTTTGTTTCCTTGTAACCTTCCCTTGATGAAAGCTTTAAAGTCGGAAAAGCTTTAATTTGACTAGCGTATCTAGTTTTACTAAATTGTGTTGTTTTGAATTAATTCATACTTTTGTTATTAAATTGTATTGTTGTTTGTTTTTCAATTAAAATTGAAACTGGTACCCTAAATGAGATTTAAAATTGTCATTTTTAAATACCTTCTTTTTGGTGTTTCCAAATTTGTATGTTGTAGCTTGAATCTTTAGGAATTGTTTTTGTCAAACGAGCCAAAGTATATACGTTTAACTAACAATAAGTTCAATTTTTCCCTCCATTTTCAACTCAACTCTCTATCTAATACAGTGGTACGCAAACTGTAAAAAACGGTGAAATCCCTGATAGGCCTACTTAGGCCTAAGTGAGGCCCAAGGCCTAGGCTAATTTTTACCGGTATTGGTACAGTAACTAAAGAGGTAATAGGCTATGTTACAAACCAGATTTGTCTAAACTTAAACAGCAACTGAGAGTCTCATCCTCTAACACGTTTTAAATGGTATGCTACTGTGTAATTCATGACTAAGATGTTGGTGGCCTCTTAACCAGACTATTGTGTGGACTATTGCGTTTGCCCATAGTCTACATAGGCTATGGGCCCGTACTTTAAACGTATCCCCAGCAAAGCAAAGAGTGAGCCGGTCAGTTCCAGATTTAGGGAACTTGCAGCCCTAGGCCAAATTACTTGAGCGGCCCTCCCCCTGTGGTGGAAATTCCTTGCGATCGCGGAAGTAATCGTGAATATCTCCTATGCATCAAAGGAACATCATCATCGTGGACATCTCTCCTAAACCAAGTCAAAGCCATCAGGTATCCATGACCGCGGCAAAATCGTTAACATCCGCCGCGTTCTGCAACAAAAGGACATTATCCTCGACACTTGTGACCGCGGTGAAATCGTGATCATATCCTGTGAGCTGTGACCTTGAGGACATCATCGCTGTCACCCGCGACCGCAGTAGAATCGTGAACATCTCCCTTGGTCCGCAGAGACATCATTATGGTCACCTGTGATCGCGGCAAACTGGTGGTTTAAAATCATTTTTTTATCTTAAAAAATGTTTTTCTCAATCCTCTGCGGTCCCCTTTTGCTTGTGGCCCTAGGCCGCAGCCTAATCGGCCTAGTGTTAAATCCGGCACTGGAGCCGGTACAGATACAATAAGAAAATAACACATGAGCTTCTAATAACCAGATAACCATCAGCCCAGAATTGTTTTATGTAAATAAATGGCTCTTCGGTTACCATTATTAGGTTGCCAATTAATGAAATCAACTAGCCTACAACAATGAATCTTGGCAGATACGTAGCTTAGCCGAACACAAGGGGGAGATTTCCGTATTCTAGTATCAGTAATTCTAGTATCAGGTTTATTGGGATTTTGAGTAATTTAGTTAACTTACAACTGTTAAGTACTGTAACTTAAACCGTAGGTAAAATGTGAGTTGATAGGAAAAAACTTATTTATTGTCCTAAAAGTTTGCGGCCAGAAACATACCCCTAGACCTGTGACGTCATAATTACATAGGCGTTTTTTTCATTGGGGTAAATTTCCAGGGGTGGAATTCCGGCAACCCAAGCCCTAGGGATCCCATTGTTTCTGGCATTCTATTATTTTATTACTTGACCAGCGGTTAGCAAACTAAACTAAATTTTTGCTAGGTCCCAGGAGAGACCAAGACATTAAAAAAATTTTTTGTTTACCGGGAATTGTAATCGAAATACCAGAATGGCAGTACTGTCTGCTGAGGACCAGAATAGGAGCAGTCTTCCCGATATGGTAAGAAGGGACAGGGCTGAGGATTAAAAAAATATTATCAGAATATTCACTGTTAAACATGATTGACTTGTTTTAAAACAAGGAATTTAAAATGTTGATTGTTTAGTAATTTTTATTCCCAATTATGTGAGGATTTGAATGGTTTTGGAACTTCAAATCAAATCAAATCAAAATCTCTTTATTCCTGAATAATGTTACATATTATAATACAAATAGTGTATTTGCAGGAAAAATAATTCCCAAGTAGACTATTCGTCTGTGTTTGGGAATGAGTTGCTAATACAGCCATACACAGGTCAATAAACGTTCAGGAGCACTTAGACACTTACTGATGATAGTAAATAAAAATAATATTAACAAGATGAAAAAAAACCCTAATTGCATCAAAACATCCAAAACTCAAATTTAGTGATTTTAAGAGGTATTTAGAAATGAAGGAAAAAAAGTGATTTGGTGATGCATTAAATTGTACAAAATTATGAGTACAATGATTTGAGTAATCCTTCTGATAGCTCCCTGCCGAGATTTAAAAGCCAGCTCATGACTTTACGCTTAAACACAGCGACACTGTCACTCTCCGCCTCTCGTATATGTGAAGGCAAGTTTCTATACAATGTATGACAAACGTAAAAAGGAATAGTTTTAAGGATTGAATACATGACATGACAAATGTCTGGGAAAAGAAAAGCCGAAATTTATGTTACTTCTAGTCAAATAACGATGTTGAACAGGAGAAAAAACCGAAGATTTATTAAGTTTTATGAAAATAAGAAGCTTTTTTATGAACAATTGGCGAATGTTTAAAACTGGAATGTCGCAAAACAGTTGTAAGGAAGAAAATTTAGAGCTTTTATTTAAAATAGTTTTTGTAACAGATCGTTGATCAACAGAAAGTGGTTCCGAACAGTAGGAAGGGCACCACCCCAAGCCAGGATACCATACTGCAACACCGACTGCACGTAGGCAAAGTACACGGTCCGTAACTGCTGCTTCGAAAGCACCTCCCGAAGCTGCGTGAATGCGTAAATGAGCTTACGTACTTTGTTTTTGACATATTGAACATGCGGAGCCCAAGTCAATTTACTATCGATCACAACCCTTAAATACTTAAAATGACTAATTCTATTTAAATAGAGAAAAAATGTGATATTTTTAAAAACATACCTATTTTAGTGTAAGCCTACCGGTAAGTCTAATCAGGCAAGTGAAAATTCGGTAAGTCTGCAGGTTTGCTGTGGCGGGGGTATTTGGCCTTAATAACGCTCTTATATTGCGATCAAGGAAAATATCTTAAAATATTGGGCAACAAAAATGTTACAATATTGTGCCATATGCATAAGGCCAATCTTACTTAGGCCTACTCCATTTATTTTAAGACGAATCTTTACAACCTGTGATGTGTAGACTGTAGATTGATGTTGCCACGAATGCAAAAGATTATTACGACGTCTCCGCGATTGTGGAGATGATCACGTTAGTGCCCCGAGTACGGAATATAGTTTTAGCGTTCTAGGATGGATAATTTGTGATGAATACAGTAACTTACACAATACATTAAATTTTCTGAACAATGTGTAAATACATGAATCGTATGTTTAGGCTACCCAGCTTTTCATATCTTGAGTTTTTGTAGTTAAATGAACAGAAGGCTTGAAAACTGCATCTGAGGACTTGCAACGTGGTTTCTCAGGGCTAGAATTACCTGTCGTTATTGGAGTCGATTGCTTAATTCCACCACTAGTTGGAGAAGTTGGGGCAATAGGCGTTAATGTGTCTCCAAGTAATGTGTCGTTACTGTACGTGTAAGAGCCATCTTAAGTACTCTGAGCATTACTACCAGCGTCTTTTGGTTTTTTAGTTGTGAAATTAAAAACATCAATGTTGAAAGGCAAATGTTTATCCTGTATGTATTTCTCTAATGCTGTCTTAGACCTAAAAATTCGGCCACTAGGGGAAGTTACATAAATATCAATTTTTCCTGCACTTAAACCAGTTTTACGGGTAACTTTTTCCTTTTTCCAGCCCTTGGGCAGGGATGTAGTAAGTTCTTGATTTGAAGTCTTATTCATATCTCTTTAATGAAATATTGCTATTAAATTGATAAATGGATGGTACTGGAACTATTCAGAAGTTAAAAATGGTCATATAGGCCCAAAGTAAATATAGATGGGCTATAGGTTAATCTCCTTTATTTGTAGTTAATTTATTTCTTGTTATTTGTATACAAATTTAACATCACAAGTTTTTAGAATATATATAGCTTAAGTTACTTGTGTTTGTAAACAAGTTTTGACATTTTAAATAAAAGAAGGAAATTACTGATATGAGATGAGGTTATCAGAGAGTTGACCTTGACTCTTGAGCAGGTAGAGAGGATTGCATGTCTTAACAGAACCCTCTCTGAAGAGGGACGACCGTTAAATTCCAGTTATCAATAATTGTGTGCGAACTTCAGTTCACTAATATTTTGAGTGCCGTGTTTGTGGTAGTTAACAGAATAAAATTAACACTGCTTGAAACTTGAACTGTAAGTATTAAAACACTATTTAACTTTTTAAAGGACTAACTTTACAGGATTATTTAGCCATCCGCCATCTTGAAATTCCAAGGAAAAAATTTGGTCTCAAGCCACTGACCTGGCCCACATCAAATCACTACACCTCACTCTGACATTTACAACATCAATCTTATTATTTGCATCATCTAATCCTACATTTTACTTGTTTAGATTTTATGTTAAAAAGCAAAGAGCTAAATCTGAACACTGAAAGAGATTTCCCATGTTAAAATCTATGAATAAAACTGAATGAGTGCAAGGGCAGACATTCTTAACTAAAATGACCAGTATTGAAAAAATCTTAAAAGAATCCAGGGAGATTCCGTCCAAATACTTACTCATGAAAAACTCAAAAATAAATGCTATAATGTTGTTTTTTTTATTATCTGTTATTATTGCGTAGTATGCTATACCCCATGGACAAGAATCATATGAGGGGTGCTAGTGAGGTTGAAAACAGCCTTCAATGCGATCTCATTGATCCATATCTGACTTATATCAAAGCTTTTGAAATACCTTGTAAAAGTGTACTCAATTGGGTCCGCGGAATTGGCTAACTCTGGAACTCGCTAACCCCATGTTAAATGCCCTATCTTCAAATTTGGTCGATGAGAGGAACTCGCTAACTTGTTCGGTTTCGGAATTGGCTAACTCCGGAACCCGCTAACCCGCTCTAAAGCCGGGTTAGCGAATTCCGTCCTCGTACGGAAGTCGCTAACTCGGTCCCTCGGCGGAACTCGCTAACTCCCAATCAGAAGCCTCGCGGGCCGTCCAATGGGAGCCAAGCACGAATATTTTTGGCCAGTGTTGCCGAAAGTGTACTACCTATATCGTATCGGTACCATAATGTCGTATCTTACGATTAATTAGGAGTAAGAACAACGTAGTCGATAAAATAAATATATTTGGAAGTATGTTTAACATTATTCTTATGGTTATTAGGGTGGAAAATGCATTATAGTCTTACCATAGACTAACCAACACAAGTAAACTTTACATCCCTTTGTAAACTTCCGGTGACACTGATCGCTAGTGTCGACAAAATTGTGTTTCTATCATTTTTTAGTTAACTTCATGATTTGTTCCTTACTGTTTGGTTATATAACTAGGGGACGTGTTATTAGTTGTGATTAGAACGTTTTATTTGGTTAAACGAGGTTTTAAATTACTGAAAACAAGAAACAATTGTAAACAAAACACGACCTCTAAAGACAGTGCACCGGACAGAACTAACAATACAACTGTCTTCAGATGATCCATAAGGATTAGAAATGTACTAATATAAGGGAGTATGTTTTATATGTGGATTTCTTACTTAAATAGTAGCTTATTGGTATGAAAAAGATAAAAATGCACATTTAATTTGGATCTATTACATGTTATGAAATATCTATTTTCGTAGTCTGCCATTTGTTTCTTTTATTCGAATAAATACCATTTTGTGAAGTTCTGCAAATAAAATTTTTGAGTTCGTATTTTATATACTGGGCTTGTAGTAACCTTAAATCATAAATCATAATAAAATTTACACGTTAAACGTCATTACAGAATTACATTGTAGTCGTTACGCATTTTTAAATAGAGCTATTGAATTTAAATAAATATTTATCAATACATTATAAAGTGGTAGGCCTAATGTATTCATGGATTGCATTAAAAGTTGGTCTATGCATAAATACAACTTGTAAATTTCTTTTATCGTAGGCTATTAGTGTAGAACCCGGGTCATCCTCTTAATTTTGTTGAATTAATATTAATTTTACGTCTTTCAGTAGGCTTACTTTTTAAAAGTCTGGAGTTTTTTTTCCAGGCTGGTTCTATCTTATCCAAAAACAAAGCTATTGTCTATTGTGTAGCTCAGTACTGGGGAACAGTGAACCGAGCAATGGCTTGCTATAGTTTATATCGTTTGTGAAAGCAATATAAAGGAAACCCAACACTCAAATCAGGAAAATCCGTCAATTAGTTTATTAAAAATCGTTAATTAAAATAACCCTGTCACGTTTTATTATATGAATATTATATCTTCTCCTATTTTTTACTAGTGGTGCTTAGGTGTACAATCTAAAAACTGTTTTAAAACATGTAACATTATTGCTAAAAAAATCAACACATTTTAGAATTAGGCAACTATTTACTACAATGCTTTGGTTCAAACTATTAGGCCTAGATAATAACTTAGTCTATGTCATCATATGTGTACACGTAAGTTGGACGGTTCAAAGACGAACATTAAATTTAAAATCTATGAATTAATTATGAAAGTTACGATGGTTGATGACTGTATTAATTAATGGTTTTGGTTATTATTACGACATTACAATTAAATCTGTTTTCCGTGTTTAAGAACTTGCGTGTATTTTAGCTTAATTTCGTAGAGGTTTAATTATTTATTACCAATTAAACTAAATTTTGAATATTTTTCATATTCTATTATTTTTTTTTATACTGATGGCATTTAAATTTAAGATCGAAATCATAAACATTTAACTGGCCATTGTACAGTTTAATAAAACACATTTTTTCATGATTTTTTTAATTGTCTTTTAATTACTTTGGGCTAGTTATCTGTTAAAAGTGGAATTGATAACAAAAAACAATAACATTTACTGTATCTTTATAGACACTGACATTTTGAAATACGGCAGTGTATGATTATTTTGTTGTACAAGGTTGGCACCGCTCCGAGCAGTGGGCGCGGCCGGGTTAGCGACTTCCAGAGTTAGCGAATTCCGCCGCGAGACAAAATCGAGTTAGCGGGTTCCGGAGTTAGCCAATTCCTGACTGAGACGGATAGCCAGTTCCAGAGTTAGCCAGTTCCGCCACACGACCGAGTTAGCGAGTTCCTGAGTTAGCCAATTCCTACGTCTCACTCAATTACCTCTTCAGTCAAATTCAACAGAAGGTACTTTAATCAGAGCAGAGGTTTCAAGATAGATTTGATTTTGTTAAATTTTACATAGCTAATGTTTTAATAAAAAGTGTTGCTATTGTTCTTCTTAGCCAGGGATCAATGTAAGTACCCATGATTGATATTTGTATAGCTGGCAATCAAAATCAAATATATTTTTCCTACAGTTGCCTGACAAAGCAACATTTCTTGCACTGGTTGCAGCACTCAAAAAGCTGATTCCTGCATTTACTTACTTTTCCATACTCTTTTCACTTTGTCAAATTCATTATACTTTCTTGCACTTTTCCAGTATTTCCATCAAACAACACGAAACAGTGTTTTTGTATTAGGCACCTAAAATGGGTATGCTTCAAAACAAGTTAGCAACACTGCTAAATCGATTAGCTAGTGCAGTGTTTATTTGTCTTTCTATTTTACCATTTATACAGGGTGGCTGAAAAGTAACTTGCACCCCCGCTTAACTTTTCAACCATTTGAGATATTTGAAATCGGTTTGCAGCAACCTTCTTAGATATGAGGGGCTACAATAATTATGGTAAATTTTGAAAGTTTTGCGCTTAGCGGGGGTAGGGGGTAGCTCAAACTTTTCAAATGACAAGTATAGTCGAGTTTGGTATCATTTTACAGGTCTTGACGAAACATAAGCATTGACATAAAGAAAACCAAAATCGGCTCACTAACAACAAAATGGCGCCCTAAAACGTTTCAAATCCAAATAACCATGAGGGTGGCAAAAAAATTGACTTGTACCCTCTTTAACTTTGTTACTATTAGAAATATTTAAAATTAGTTTGCGGCAAACTGTTTGGATATGAAGGGCTACAATAATTATGGTCAGTTTGGAAAATTTTTCCCTTAAGAGTAGCGGGGGTAGGGGGTAGCTCAAAATTTTCAAACAGCAAGTATAGTCGAGTTTGGTATTATTTTGTAGGTCTTGACAAAACATAACTATTAACATAAAGAAAATAGAAATTGGACCATTATTAACAAAATGGCTGTTCAAAATTACTTTAAATAACCATCGTCTCAATCATTTTTAGCTGCCATTTTGTTATTAATGGTCCGATTTCTTTTTTTCTTTTATGTTATTTGTTATGTTTCGTCAAGACCTGTAAAACGATACCAAACTCGACTATATTTGCAATTTTAAATTTTTTAGTTACCCCCTACCCCCGCTACCCTTAAGGGCAAAATTTTCAAAATTGACCATAATTATTGTAGCCCCTCATATCTAAGAAGGTTGACGCAAACCGATTTCAAATATCTCAAATGGTTGAAAAGTTAAGTGGGGGTGCAAGTTACTTTTCAGCCACCCTGTATAACGTCTTACCTTAAATATAAACCTCTCGTTGCGTGTTAACATAAACATTACAAACCAACAATTATTTTCAGATTTTGATTAATTTTTTTTTTTAATTTCATTCAGGTTTTATTTGTTAATTTGTGAAACTGCTAAGTAAAATTTAACCCTTGTATACATACTTTATAGTAAATGTAGCAAAAATATAATGTATAACACGAGCGCAAAGTGCCACTTAGCACACTAGTTACACAAACACCTACTTTTTTGTTGGATAGTTTTATCTATGTATTTGAAAACTTTGTCCTGAATACTTACGCTATAGATATTATAGATTTTATATTTATGCAGTGACTGGCCTATAAACTAATTTAATTGAAACAATAGCGAATAAAACAACCCATTAGATACAAAATTTTGTTTATTAAATATGTAACTACAATGTTAAACAAGTTAAAATTAACTTTTATCAATGTCTAAATATTAAAATTATTATCTATTAAATTAACATCTAAAACCATCGATATTTTCCACGAGAAATACAAAACTAACCTGTAGGTTGTTATCCTTTAAATGGCCTATTTGTTTAGTAAATCTATTACTACAAGGTACAGTAAAAAATGTCATTTAAAATGTATTAATCACTATAAATTTAAATCATTATTTACTAAAACAAAATTTTAAACTATTCATATTTTTATGAGTAATAAATACAAGACTAAATTATTTTAACACTTGTTTCTAGCTTATTAAGGCACACAGACTGTCCCTTATTCAAGTCTTGACTTGACTCAATAGGCCTGCTCTTTCTTTTTTTAAGTTTCTTTGGATGTTTGTATTTCTTCAACAATAATTTTACTTTTTTCTTATAGACTTCTGATTCCTTGCACACTTTTTCGGAATCAACCAGGAGTCCCCGTATTTCACGAGAGATTTCAACATTTTCCTGAAAAAGAAAATGTTTTAAAAACTAATTGTTCCTTCATATTTGTTATAGAGTTAAGGAGAGTACTGAAAATGGTAGCAATAATCAATAAAAATTAGGATGAGTATGTGTTCATAAGATTAATCTATTGGGACCTATATATCACATGTTTCATAAAAAAATACTTTATCGTAAAAAAACACCAATCACATTTTAATTAGGTATCTTAAGAAAAATTACAAAATAACTAAAGCTGAGTTTTAATCTGAGCACTGTAAGTGAATATAGCCAAAGCAGACTCAAAAGAATAGTGTTTTATTATTGTGCATGCAATATGAATTTTGTGATCAGTAAATGTGCAGTGATTTTCATATATGAAAGTATATAAATAAGCATAAGCATATTATTCTGTAGAACTTATTGAAGTATTACGTTACTACCATATCCTTAAAATACATAAATACTGTATTATACACAATGGCGTATTGACAAAGGATAGGGTGGATCAATAGGAATTCTCTGGGAGTCATTCGGGCATTGTTTCTATTTTGAAAACTAAATGTTATTATTTGTATAAATTATTAAATAACAGTGTTAGGCGGTCGACACACGGGAAGACTGAAACCCAACTAAAGTTGAACCAACTGTTTTGTGACGCGACTACGGTTGGAGTTGCGTTGGTTAAATCCGCACACGGGCACGACTGTAGTTGAGTTGAGACAGTGAATGAGTTCTAATTTTGTTATAAAGATACTGTGTACTGTGTATGGTGTTTGAAATGAGTAGTAGTGATGAAGAAGCCCTGGTGTGTTATAAACAATCAAGAAAGCGTAGAGGATTGGGTACATCCTTATGTTAAAACAAATTTTCAATGTAGGCTCTTTGTAGCTGATGCTGCATTACAAGAAACAGACGCAAAATTTCAGTCTATGTACAGGATGTCAAAAAGTACTTACAAAAGTTATTGCAGTTGGTATACCTGATCTTTGAAAAGATCAATACAAATATGCGAAAAGTTTTTCAAACCAGGCGACTGAAATCACCTAGCAACCGGCAGGTCCGGTTGCTTAACGACTGATCGCCGACTGGTCCTCAACTGGTCGCATCGCAGTCGCACCGTGTGTACTGTCCCACCTAACTACATTGGTCGGGACGCTGGCGACTAGTTTGTCCAACTGGTTGCCGATATCAGTTGGAAAACAGTCCTCCCGTGTGTCGACGGCCTTAGAATCGTGGTCTTCTGGCGACGTGTGAAAAACGATGAAATACTAACACTCACTGAACTTGGTCGTCGCCAGAAGACCACGATTCTACATTATGTGACCGTGGAAGCCTATCCAGGAGGAAAAAATAACAGTGTTCTACAACTAGCCTATTCAGTAATACTTGTAATTGCATCCAAATCCAAAAGTTAGAGTTCAGTTTTATTTAGTGGGTGGCTAGTTACGTTGATTTTTTGCTGAAAAAATGACAAAAGAAATTTGTTCGGTATTTCCAGTTCTATAGAAACCAGAAAAATCTAAATATGGTTGAATCGTTGGAAATTAACGATCTGTATACACACAATCCTACAAAAAATTACTCCAATCGTCATAATATTTTGTCAGCGTGTAAAATATAAATTTTTACTCTATACATTTTAAATCTTAAGGAAAAATTTGGCATTTGCAACTGTATTCTTAGAAGGGATAGGTTAAGATAAAATGTATTCTCAAAGCAAGTTTGAATCACTGTTATTAAAAAAATATACTATTGTGTCATACACTAGTTAATAATGGAGCTGAGAATAAATATTATTTATGTGTGTTAAAACAGTTCTGGTATACAGTGCCACTCCTGCTGGCCAACAAAAACTTGATTATTTTCCTGGTTTTGAAACCAATGAACCAATCTGACTTTAAAATCGACCCATCCCTACTAAGTAAGAATAAAGCAGGGTGGTTGATGTTGGAGGAGGGTACTCAAGCCATTTCTGTTCTAGGGTGCTCCAAACCTGACTACTGCACTGTATGTACATATTCTTAAGAACGTGAAGTTGTATTCATTTACAGTGTTGTCTGTTTTGCCTACGTTAAGGGTTTATTTACTTGTACTACAGGTAAACAATCCCTTGTTACTTCTACGACTTAAGAGATGCAAAATACTAATTATCAAAAATACCCAAGTATCTATATAATTAATACACTACATAAAAAACTTTGTCGGTTGAACTCCTCCGCCATTTCTTAACCTAATTTATCAATTGACGTCTCATTGGAAAGAGCTTGTCACATAGATTTGCAAATTTATGATTATTCAGCTACACAACACACATGAGTTTTAATTTCCCATTAAAAAGCATTGGAATGAATTTGCTATGTATATTTTTGTAGTTCAAATTATTTTAAAATTTACACATATAATGCAAATTATGTATACATTTATTATTAAATTTTGATATTGTAAGTACCCAAATACCTTAAATTCATACAGTGAACTAACACAACTATATTCGTGTATGACAATTTATAATTATTACGTTCATTGTTTGAATTAGCTTATTTTTAACTAAACTAGATTAATGGTTCTATTGGAAAATACCATATTTGAAACTAAAAGCCCATCTTAGAACGGTTTAGCAAAATTGCTGATAGTAATAACATTGGCTATACATAAAGCAGACTTCCCATCCAATGTAAAAGTTTGAAGTCAAGAAAATATATTCAGCTTACCATATCACCAGAGGATACTGTTTTATTGTATAATAATTTAAATCCATGCCAACAGCTGATTTATCAATTGACACAGAATATTGTCATTAGTTGGTAGACCATCTAAACAGATTGCACCATGTTTTATTTTGGCTTCAAATGTTAACATTAGATGGGAAGTCTACTATGTGTATAGGTAATACTGTTCATACATGGTCCAAAATATTTCTGGATTAGATGTACAGTTAAAAGTGTTCAAATTATATTATTGTATTTTGACTATCTATTATCCACCATAATAATTTTAAATCCAAGTAAATTCACTTATAAACATTCATCAAGTGCAAATACATTTTTTGTTTATGGTTTTATTTGCGTTTGACGTAATCCTTTATTTTACACATTTAAATCATTCACTGTATCCGTGAAATGTATAAAAGAAATTTGTAAGGAATTTAGAAAGAGTACAGCAAAACACGTTTGAAAAGTGAAAGAATGTTTCAAAATGTTCCTAAAATAATTAGTTATTTTTAATTAGTTAAAACATTTAATGATCATGGGTACCAAAATCTGATTTAAAGCTAAAATGAACTTAGATAAATTAAAAGTTTACTGAAAAAAATAAGTAAAAAAAAAAAAAAAAAACAATTTGGATAAAAACTAATAATGTAAAGTGTTAAGTGTTTGTAGTTACGTCTAAAATAAGAGAATTTGTTTGAACTCGGACTTTCAGCGAATTTTCCATATAGGGAATAAGCACTTTTTTAACGTGCTCTTTTGAAATAAAAGTTTATATGTCAGGATGGTTATGTTTTCACTTTACTATTAATGGCTACTTTATTAACAATCAAAACTAAACACAATAAAACGAGCCTTATCGTTGTTATGTTCGGATGCACGTGTAAAATCCTATAATGAAAATGCCTATTGCTGCTGAGGATTCCCTAAAAAAGGGAGGGATGGAGAGTGGGACTCCCTCACTAGCCCATAGTGCTCACATGCTAACTGTGCATGAAAACAGCTGTAGATCAACTTACGACTAAGGATTGTTCGACAGTAGCAGAAGTACTGTAAAACTTAGCTAAATTTAACAATATAGAGGCTATTCCATTACGAAATTGGATATTTTTTTATCCAGCTAGATGTACAGTTATGTTTTATGACTGCAAGTTGACAGTAGAGAGTCAAAAATCCGAATCAATTGTTTAAACCAAAATCCGAATCGGTAGTTCAGATTACCGATTTGTTCGGATTTTCAAACATAGCCTAGAAATGCATAATAGACCCATAATTAGGCCTACAGTATTAAAAATACAGTTTTAGGATACAGTCAATGAAATAAAAATAATGGTTTTTGTACTTAGGCATTTTCGTAATATAACTATAATTCATTTCTTGGGTAAAAATATGTAGAGCTTATACATTGTACATTGGAAACGAACAAAACACAGACTGGCTCGGTGCATTCACTAATTTCCCTGCCAGGCTCCTACTGTTTGGCCTGCAAAATTGTAAAACATCTGTTGTCTCTGTGCTAATTCAATATTTTAAAACTCTCAGGAGCAGTTCGGATTTTTGACATTTTGGATTTTTGACGTTCGGACTTTCGACTCTCTATTGTAATAATACATAAAGCTCATTATCTAATAGAGATTAAACATATATTAAGAAATATTACAAACCCCTAATAGCCTGGTTATTACGTTGATTTTACTCTCTTTTTCTAGCTTATTACATTCATCCAGTCTTGTTTTAAACTCTCCAAGCACAGTGTGTTCATTTAGATGCTATAGGAAAAATAAAATACATTTTAAAAATACATCTTACTTATGTGTATACATGATTTTTATCTACATTCAAGTATTGTTAGATTCATTACTAGGAACCTGAAATAAAAAATAAAACTAGACACATATAAGATTATGATGATTTCTAAAAAATAGCTAGCCTATACGTTTTTGAAGCAAAAATATAAAAAAAAGAATCAAAGAAGATTCAATTAATTAACAATTCTCTTAGTATATGAGATAAACAGTAAACCATGGATCACTTGATGAACAATTGTCATAATCCAGTATGTTATTAAATTGGTAATTGTAAACATTTGTTTAAGGCTTGTTTAAGGCTGATATTAGTAAGAAGCATGAAACATGAGAGTAATTATCTTTTGGTTTAGATGGTTTTGATTTTGTGTGTTTATTTTACAGTTAGAGAATGAATACATTGATAAGGAATAGAATATGCCTATGTCACCACAGCACAAGTTTAAATACATACAGTAGACTCCCTCTTATCCGGACATCGGTTTAACCAGACCACTCTCGGTGGAAATGACAACTCTTTAACCGGAAAATGTTTATCAGTACATCGGTTTAAACGGACTAGATCGGCAGGAAGTGGGCGGTACTGAAACAATTGTTCTCGTAGGAAAGATTTGAGACCAGTGGTCACGTGTCTAAATACAATGCTCTCCTAAATTGAAGTCAAATACTGTACAGTATACAGAATGCATTTAAACGGTCCGTTTTAATGAGTTTTTGGGGATGTTGGTTTAACCGGAAACCCCGCTATCCGGACTGGCCTCTGTCCAGAGGAGTCTGGATAAGACGGAGTCTACTGTAACTTAATTGTAAGACTAAATTACTTACTTAAACCGGTCACAGCTCAACAAAAAATGTCAATTTAGTAGGACATGTGTCGGTGTTTCAACAACGAACATTTCCCTTGCATGTGTAGCAAGGTGCCACTTTGCACACTAGTTACACAAATAACTATTGCCATACTACCACCAACAAATTTTCTTTGCTAACTTAGACATGTATACTAACATAATCTTACTAACAGGATTACTATGATTTTGCCACTTGTAAACATGGAAAGCTCTAACTCATACCTGTTTTTAGATATATCAGGCAGCATATTTAATCTAATTTTGCAATAATCTCTGTTGTAATGCATCTTCTTATATAGGTTGATTTGTAAATGATTCACACTAACGCGATATTTGCATTGTTGCAGTAGACAAGTCAAAACACCCTAAAGAGGGGGGAGGGAGAATGGGGACAGGTGGAGGGGACGGAGGGGGAAGGGGGGCTTAGTGGACAGAATAGCATGCATTGTTGAAACCTTTTGCAAAACTTACCCTTCAAGCTACAGGCTCTGACTTTACGGGTCCTTTTCTGTAAACAACGACTTTTTAATCGAAAAAGAGTATAGAGAGAGGCTTTTCATATTGTAGTGTGGTGAAAATGAGTTTAATTTATATTAATAAAGAGAGTATGAAATTTAAAGTTTCCCAACAATCTTATTACAATCAATGTTATTTCCTGATCACACAATCTAAAACTGCCAAGTACTTTATTAGTGGTTGTTACTCTCTTGTACTTAGATTATTCAAAATAAAATTATAGTACCATTTTCCACGGAACCTCAATTTCTTGATAGAACAATAGCTTAAATTGGCCATTAGAACATGCCTGTAAAAATTAGTTTTTTAATAAAGTAAAATTTGTTTTGTATAAGCTAAAAATCCAATTGACTCTCGATGATTTGACGACATTGTGATAGTGTTTGAATTACTCATGATTATGAAGATTAGATTGTTAGCTGATTACCTGAAACCTTGATTTAGATCATTAACTCCTACCTGTGTCTTGTAAGAATGGATTTTGTTAAGAATTAAATTTCCTGTGTCACATAAGTTTAAGTGCTAAAAAATTAGAAGAATATAGGACCAATTGACAAAAGATAAACAACGCTCAGTCGTGTATTTATTGTTACGAATAATCCCTACTATTTATTGTAAGCACTTTGGGATCAAACTGGACAACGCAACTGAAAAGACAGAAGACTCTAGTTGTAACACCAAACATGATGATTGTACAGATGCTGACCAGACTCAATATTCGCAAAGAATTACTGTCTGTCAGTTGATATCGAGAGTCAACTATATTACGTTACAACTTAGAACTTAGGTAAACAGCGTTAAAAAATCTTACCATCTCCTTCAATTGTTTTTGGAGGGATTCTATTTCCATACTTAATATCCTCTTCATCTTTATTTTGTCGTTGGCAATTTTTTCTAACTCTGATTGTTCCCTTTTAACTAATCGAAGGACATCCAAAAACTCGTTTTTAGCCATTAGGTCCCTAGGATGGGGATTAGGCTCTACATTAGCTTGAGCATTACTTGCTTCATCTACGGTAGGCTTGGGATCAGGGTGAGGGTTATTTTCCTTTTTAACAGGATTGCTCGTTTCGCCTGAAATAAATTACAGGGACTAGGATTACGGTGGATACAAAAACATCAAGTTAAACTTAATAGTGCAATAAAATGCAACAATTAATACTTTAGTTACTTAAAAACTATGAAATATAATTTCAAAAAATAATTAGCCTCAAGTTTTTTCCGTTCAATGTTTTATGTGTATGTTTTTTTCAATGCTCTTTTGTCACAATAGAGGCTACAACATGCATGTTGTACAAGTACAATAAAACTAAAAATAAATATGCAGAGAGATAAACCAAAACAACACTAAATACAGCAAACCATGCATAGAGGAAATGGAATCAAGCAAACTTGATGCATTAAGTTTATAAATTAAAATATTTGACCAAGCTTCATAGCCTTAACAAATTTAACAAAACTATAATGTCCCCACTGCAGCAATCCTACAGACTAAGTGAATTTCCATTTAGCTGGCTGGATTTATACCAAAATATCCCCTTAAAATTGTCAGATTTATTTCCTATTTAAATAACATTAATTTTAACAAGTACTTAGGTTTGCTGTTACAGGGAAGGTATTGACGTGTGTTTTTTTATTGAAATGTTGATAGTTAGTATGAAATAAACAAAAGTGTCAAATTTGATTAAAATATCAGGCCATAAACAAGCAAGCTACAACAGTTTATTTATTCTCCTTAAGCATAACATGTGAATTTTAAATTTACAATTTTTGTAATTATATCTGTAACTGTTAGGCACACAACAAAGCTTCAATGTATAAAGTTATTTCTTTTTTTAAGCTCTACAAAATGGTTTGGAAAAAGTTATGAAATTTTGTGGTTTTTAGCGTCAAAAATGGAAAACCCAATTTTTACCCTATAAACCCCTGTTCCTAATATAGTCTGATGATACTGGTTTATGAACTCGTTTGAATAAACGGTAGGTTTAAAAATGCTGGTACCAAATTTCATCACAATCAGATAATTGTTTAATTGAGTTATCACGCTAACAGGCACATATATAAATGTATGTATCTATATGGATTTGAATGGAAGGTGTTTTTGGCCACTGGAGACCACAAAACGAAAAAGTAAATCAGTCTGGGGTCCAGGTCTTACCATGAGACCTACAGTAATAGCTTACATGGGAGATTCGCTAAAACGGATTTGTTAAAAGCCAATAATATACACTTCATTTAACATCAAATATTGACTTGTTCTGAATGCTAACAAGTACAATTATAGGCCTACTATTAGAACCAAACAAGTAGAATTATTTTAAATCTGTTTAACTTTTATACCTTCACCGTCTTCCAGCATGGCTTGATATTTTCTCTTAAAATGGAACAAACTCATTTTTTCTTTTAGTTCAAACTTGATAGCAATCAGTTGACTAGTCAGTAGGCTAACTCTCCCAACTCTGAAACATAACCATCATTTATTGGTAATTGATATTGGTGAAGGTAGGATCGAGCTTTGAATCTCTAGCTTATCAAATAAGGCTTTATGTGCTCTCTTTCCCAAATCAAAATCAATGTTTATTATCAAATAAACACAAACGCTACAAAAATGCAACAATTCATATGTTAAAACAAGCTATTGTAAACTAATTTATTACAATAGCTAATAAGGCTAAAGGGCAGCAGTCACTAATTTAACAACCTCTGTTTTGTGATTGACTTCACAACAATTATTTTGTGGGAAGGACAAGAATGGCTTATTTTGTATCAGGTTGCTACCATGATCACCAAATGTATAATAATGGTGGTTTGAAAAGGTAGCTTAGATGAAAACTAAAATTGAGATTGTTGTGTTAAGCCTAATACATTGTAAAAGTTTAAGCCTAGGCTACATTAAATATTGTCAACTTATTAGTAGCCTCCCTTTTTGATTATAACAGTGGTTTACATATTTATCATTCAGACCCATTAATAGTAACTTATGTTGTGATATTGTAAAATGTATTTTCATTGACTCGGCAAATCTGTGTACGTAAATAATAATAGTAAAAGCAAAGTTAGAAGGAGTAAAATAAGATGTATTGTTTACATTTTTAATCAGCATGTTTACTCTAACCGTAGAGTTACACGCTTCGTCGAAGCTTGATATACAAAAATATCCATGTCATTATCTAAATCATCATAACATCTGAGCAGCCCGCTAGTAATCTCTCTTGTGATGGTACGCACCAACCGTGTATTGTAATTGTACACAGTCTAGGAAACCACTAATGCAGCTGGTCTTTGAGACCTGGATAAAAGCCGCAGCGCATCTTAACCACAGCGCATCTGTTAGGCACCTAGGAAACCATAGCCTAAACTTCTTATTGACATTTATGATTTTAAAAGTGTAGAGTATGGCAGAGATATTTTATCCTTTAAGAGGGGATCAGAAAAGACCCTCCCTGCAATTTTAATACAAAGAGCCTAGTAGAAAATTGATGCTTGGGTTTAAAAAACAAATTTTCAATAATTAATTAATTTTTGAACTTAATTATGTTTTTTAGTTCTCTTTTTGTTGGTCAATGTGATTAAAATAGGCATAAGTTATACTATGACTGTTCGAGCGACCTTTCTCTTAAAAATTATTACTAATGTTTCAGTTTGGTTTTTAATTTTATGTTTAATGTTTTTTAAAACCATAATCTGACCATAATCCACCATAATCTGACCATAATCTGACATTTATGTGGTTAAAAACATGGATACTCAACAAAAAAGCAGAAAGGAAAATAATATTGATTGAAAAAAAAAAAATTATTAAGAAAAATGTTTGGCTTGACAAGCACTAGACAATGGTGAATGGAGGATAGGCTTAGATGGCATTGCCTTGGAAAATAAAAATAAAATAAAATAAGGACCAGGAATTGGATAAAGAGAATTGCATACAGAAGCAGACATTGTTGAAGGAATAAGAAGCAGACTAAGACTAATATTATCCCTTATACAGGGTGATTCACCTTAAAAAGTGTTACAATAGGTAACTTGTTTGGTGTTTATTTTACTTTAAATGAAAAACTTCCCTTCTTTTTTTGTGGAATTCAAAGAGATGCTATTTTACATTTAAAATGTTGCCGCTATTTTCAAAAACGGCGGACACTTAATTTTTTCAATGGTAACCATAACTTTTTATGATAGTTTTGGATTTTACGTACAATTTAAGACATGTACTTGTGACATTTTTTTGGTAAATCTAACCATTTCGAATTTACAGCCTAACTTACTGTTTAATCAAAAACAGTTTTTAACCGAATATGGCGCACCGAACTTAATGCCCATGCCTAGTATGGAAAAACAGCTACATTATTATTCAATCTTTATTTAACTGTTATAAAGAAAAACATGATAGTTTTTCTAGAGAAAGTTTAAGGGTGCTGGGGTGCTAAGTTTAAGTTATATGTTTAAATAGGCCTAACTTAGGCCTATTTTACTGAAGTTACTTTTTAAACCACTTAATGAACATATATAAGTTAGATATAAAGTCAATGTTATAAGTTAGGCCTATACTTATATTAACTTAATTTGAACGGTTTTTGTATTTTACCTCTGGGGCCAACAAAACAAAATACCCCCACCGCAGCAAACCTGCAGACTAATCGAATTTCAACTTGTCTGATTACATTTTTACTAAAACATTTCCATAAATAAGACTTAATTCCCTATTTAAATAACATTAGATTTAACGAGTGCTTAGGTTTGCTGCTACGGGGAAGGTAAAAAGTGTTTTTTGACCATACGTCAATAGTAGGCTATAGGATGAAATATATAAATTTGCCAAACTTTATCAATATATATCCATAAACAAGTAAACTACAACAATTTTCATTTTTTTCCTTAAGAATAACATGGGAATTTTAAATTTCACTATTTTAATTTTCTCCGTGACCTTTAGGCACACAACAGCGCTTCAATATACTAAATTATTTCTTTTTTAAGCTCTACAAAACGGTTTAACACTAATACCGAAACCCTACTCCGGCTGACGTTAACCGATACCCCTGGTCTGTGAGACCCCATTTGAAAAATAATGGACCCCGCTTAGAAACACACAAACCGAAACCCTCGGCCTGTGAGACCCCGCTTTAAAATACACTAACGCAGGGCTTCTGAGACGGACATTTTGTGAACAGACAACCTGTCAAGGTCACGGCACCCATGCAAAATGAACAAACAATATATCAATAGGTAGGGAAGGAAAAGGGGGGAATGTATTGGGGGAATGGAATCTCCCAAGTAATATTTTGCAGTGTTGCCAACATGCGTTTTTGAAAATTCCCGTGGGCCTGTCAGACCGGGGTTTCGGTATCAGTGTTAAAACAAAATTGAATTTTTTTTATTTTAGGGACAAAAATGGGAAAACCCCATTTTTACCCCATAAAACCCCATTCCCATGGTCCGATTATGCTGGATCGTGAACTCGTTCAAATAAACGTAGGTTTACACCTTTGTGCCAAATTTCATCAAAGGCCTCTAGGGTCCTCAAAATGAAAAATTAAATCAGTCCCGGGTCCAGGTCTTACCATGAGTAGGCTACTACGGTAATAAATTATTTCCTATATGGGAAATTCGCTCAAAAAACTACTTACGTTATTCAGGTCTCGGGTTTAGATCTTTTAACCATGAGATCTATGGTAATAACTTATGCCATGGGCCTATATAGGAAGTACACTAAACTTAATAGGTTAGGTGGGGCTATATAAAAAGATAAGCAGCAGTATGTAGTAAAAAATGTGACATAAAAGTAATGGGGTAATCTTAGACTTCAGTATCTGTTGTCAAAAACAACCGAATGAAAATATCGATAAATATATTGATTATTCGATTGTTTCATTCGATATATCATTTGGTTAGTACCTAACCTAACTAAATGATATATCGAATGAAACAATCGAATAATCGATATATTTATCGATATTTCCATTCGGTTGTTTTTGAGAACAGATACGGAAGTGTACCCAAGTAATGGTAAACCATTGATAAGTTAAGTTATACCATTGATGGAACGTTTCATTAGGCCTATACGGCCTAGGCTAAGAACGTTTTAGCCTCACGGGAACTCAGCGCCGTTTACCCGCTTTTTCTATCTATGTTGTTCAACAAGCTCCCCCCAGAGATCAGCAGTCTTCGGGGAAAAACGTTTACGTTTTCTTCCTAGGGTTGTATGAGATAGGCTTCTTCAAAGAGCCTACTAACTTACTCCGTGAAAGAGTATTTTGTGACAAATGGTAGGGTGCACAACATCACCTCCGTAGTCACCCGCCATGTTTAAATTTTGAAACCTTTTAAAAATTTAAGTTAATTACTTGAAATATACAAGTATTAACTTATTTTGTAGTTGTAAATCATTTATATTGCAAAATTGACGCAGTTTATCCAGCTATGCTGGTCAACAACGCAGCTTTGGTAATGAGGTAATTTGCTTTAGGCCTATATGTAGGCCGCATAGGCTACGCTTGGTTTTCCGTGGAACCAATAACTTACTTTTATGATGGATAATAGTCGCAGTCCCCACAAGCCTAATTAAAAGTAGGCATAAATTAAACTGGTAATAATAGTGTATTAAGTTTTAATCTTACATTAAAAACTAGAATAATAAAATAATAGCATCAAACTCGCCAGTAAAATTAACACGAATCACCGAAAACTACCAACAAACTAGCAATCTCAAAATTCAGTCCAGTTCCAGTACCACCAACCAGGTCCAGTCAGTCCAGATAATGGAGTCAGGCGCCAAGCTGTCTACCAAATTTGCAATTAGGCCTAATTGTTGCCAGTGTATTAGCATCTTGATCTTATGATTATTATCTGCTATGGATAGGAACTGTGAACGAAGTGTATAGGCCTATATATATATATATATTATAGTTCCTGTTAATAATATTAAAAACTCGCATATTAAAAACCTATAATATTAATAACTCTTAGGTAGGCCTACTCAATATTTTATTGCTATCATCGTGCAACATTAGACTACTAATATTTTACGGTGTAATAAAACGTTATGTGTAAGAGTCATTGTTTGAAATCTCTTACAATAATTCATGATTAATATTTATCTCGTAAGATTATTCTATTGTATAGTCAATAAACTTTATTACATCTTATATTATATCTTACAATAATATAAATGTCTACATCAATTATATTTATCTTTGATGCACGTAACTAAGTAATTTAGTCTATGGAATAAAAATATGAAGGGTTGAAAAAATACTCATCAAGTTTAAATTATATGCCCGTTTATTATGAAATTAATCAATCCATTTAATTCGACTTCTTTAGTCAAGAGAGAAAAGAAGAACAACACCTTTTCTTTGTTTACCTTGACGAATATCTGTCAACAGTGTGAATACAAATATTGCTAATTTGTTTATTTTATCGATGATAGAAAATTAAGTAAACTTCCTGGTAATAT